CCCTTTCAATTTGCAGGCAAGTTACTCTGTTGATAAATACTTTAATAAATGGTTTATTACTGGACGTTATTATAAAGCATTACAGCTGCAGCCGTTAACGCTCGTTCTCTGCTGGAATCCCATCTTAACAGATCAGAATCACAGCCAGTGGTTCGGGAAAGAACGACACATGACACAAAGTCCCTGATGGACAGCTCCACCTCCTGAGGTCTGTTCTTTTCTCCGGTCTGCGGGAGGCCAACTTAGCATGCTGGGAAATTAGAACTCCCATGCATTCCCATGTGATGCTTAGCTGACATGGAGATTGACGTGAGGTCTCGCTGACTCAGAGCCTGTGGTTAGGGTGAGTGGACTTGACAGTGGGAGCTACACACAGGTCATTAAAGTAGGAGTGGCACTGAGATGTTGAGGAGGAGGATGAAGAAGAGCGAGGAGGAGGAGGAGGAGGAGGAGAAGGATAAGCATAACATGTGCTAGTGGGATGATGGGGTTATGTTTTGAGTAGGAGTTTCTTCCCGCTGATAATGAATGTACAAAGTTACCTACAGAACAGAACAGAAGTGCAAAAAAATCAGATCCATATGGTTCAAGTTATTTTTCATGTAAATATTCAATTCAACATTTCATCCTGTCTTCTCTCCCTCCAGTCCTCTCTGGATTTGTTATCTATTATCACTGAACAGGTGCTGTTTGGGCTGTAGCTCACTGTGTATCTCTGTGTATCAGTGGAGGCTGGTGGGAGGAGCTGTAGGAGGATGGGCTCATTGTAATGGCTGGAATGGAATGATTAGAACTGTATCTCTGTACTGTATCTCAGTGTATTTTGTGTATCTCTGTACTGTATCTCAGTGTATTTTTGTGTATCTCTGTACTGTATCTTAGTGTATTTTTGTGTATCTCTGTACTGTATCTCAGTATATTTTTGTGTATCTCTGTACTGTATCTCAGTGTATTTGGGTGTAACTCTGTACTGTATCTCAGTGTATTTTGGTGTATCTCTGTACTGTATCTCAGTCAATGTTCTCTCTAAGCTGCGCGTGTGCGTGGGCGCGCAGCTCCCCCCTGCACTGCTGTGCAGAAAAAATAGCAGCCCGCAGAGAAGCACGAGATTGAACTTCACTCAACTTTCTAGAGTTTTCCCCGTTAGTTAACACTATCAATGCTTCCCTTTACTGTTGGAATTGAATCCAATCAACGCAATATTAGCCACTTTCAATGCAACATACTGAAACAAAACCAACTATGGAAGACTTAGTATGCAAAACTAACTTTGTTGTAGGCAGAACACATCGGAGTAGGATTCTATTGCATTGACAGGCCTGTACTCTACACAGAACGGAGCGCTACAACCAATCAGAACTGCAGTAAGCCTATATGCAAATCAATCATTTCCATAATGGATCTGTGCCATTTACTTTGAACTGGACTGTTTACAGAATGAGCGGTCATGAGTAGATGCGCTTGTTTTGAGATAAAAGTGAGACCTGCATGTTGCCACGTGTGCACATTTGTTCATATCCTTTGCTAGTTAGTGAGTTATTAGCCCAGTTATAGATTTGTAGTCAGCAATGGGGGGGTGATTGTTTCCTACAAGAGCACAAAACGTGTGCATTTCTAGCCATCTTTGAAAAGCGAATCAGGTAAATAGCTTTTTTTTTTTTGTCTTAAAGGGGTAGTGTTGTATTTTGATGCAGGCTTGAATAAGCTAAGTAGCCAATAGGCAGAGGGTAGCATCATTTGTCTGATTCTCTGTAATAATGGTATGGGAATAATTATGCATTTTATTTTGTAAAGTGGTTTCTTGCATCAAACAACACAAGAACATGTTCAGTCACCTCCTTGTCTGAAGGACAAGTGGATAAACAGGTTAATGTCAAGCCCTGCATGTTTTTTTCAAAAGTCTCATGGAATGTAGGCCTACATAGAACACCACACATTGGCTGCTACTGTAGACTGAATGATAGAACAGCTATTTCCATGTTAAAATATTACGGGATGCATTTTCTCCATTGTTTTGGATGATAGGCCACTCTGGTAGGCCTACATTATGATCAAATAGCCACAGCAGCCTACTTGATCACTGTTAAAACTGTAACTTAAAGCGGGTACAGCCTCAGTGTTCACAGTAAACGCTTGCCGGAAGTTGCACAGAAATTTCACAATGTTGAAGTTTGCGATCAGCTGACCTGAAATTTGCTCAGTACCAGAATTGTTTTTGAGGGAACATTGATCTCATTGTATTTTTGTGTATCTCTGTACTGTATCTCAGTGTATTTTTGTGTATCTCTGTATCTCTGTGTATTTTGTTTTCTCTTCCCAGGGCCTCCTTCCTCTGTATCGAGGCATCCGTCATGTTTTCCTGTATCTCTGCCAGATCAGCCTCACCATTGGCCAGTATTTCACCGTGGGCGTCGTCAGGCCGTGCTCTCTCACTCGATTGATTTTGTTAATCTCAGTAGATCAAGTTTCAGCTCAGTAAACCGGAATGATGCTGACAAGGTATTAGACGGAGAAGACTCCACCCATATGACCCACCGTTTCTTCTATCGAAGCATCCTTTATGTCTGTCTGGTGGCAGTGAAGGTGTTGATGACCACTAAGCTGTTTATAACTGTATCCTTCACCGTAAGGACACAGCGAGGAGATGGAGTGGGGTTCATGCAGGTGGGTTTGAGTCAAAATCAGGCAAGTCAAACTAAGACTGTTTGTTCATGAAGGGTTATATTAATAGATGCGTCCCAAATGGCAGTACATTCCCTTTACCTTCTTTTGTAGTTCACTAAAAAGGGAATAGGGTGCCACTTAGGAAGCAACAATATCTGTATCAAACTGGAGCGTTAGTGAAAGTCTTGCAAGGCCCCTTCACAACAGGTGAGAGTGAAAAATGCATCCGCATTGATCTAGCCAGCACGGCTGATGTTAAATGATGTAGAACCAGCTGAACATCTGATCATCTTTGATTCTCTCTGTTCTACCCGGTTACCATTTATTTATTGATGGTATCTAGGTGTTCTGACTTCAATGGGAGGCCACTGCAAATGGTTCCACCCATCCTGAGAGTCTTATCAATTAAAGCTGACTCCTGCCTTCTCTCTGCTGGACTAATCTGGGCTCCACTCTCACCTCTTCATCACCACGGACCTCCTCTCTTCCTCCTCTCTCTCTTCTCTTCCTCCTCTCATTCTCTCTTCATGAATTGACCTTGCAGGCGTTCTTTGAGCGTCTCTCATTCTCCCCTACCCGTTTCCTCATTGTGATGAATTCTCAATGCCGGGAGCCTGCTAGGCTTGAAATGACAATCAAGATGAAAGAGGGCGAGAGAAGTAAAGGAAGAGGGCAGGTCAAGACAGGACCAAAGAGAAGAGAAGAGAGGAAGAGAAGAGAAGGAAAAGAAGAGAAGGAGAAAGAAGGAAAGAGGAAGAACTAGAATCTAGCTCTCATCTCATCTCCTCTCCTATCTTCCTCTCCTCTCCTCTCCTCTCCTCTCCTCTCCTCTCCTCTCCTCTCTGGTAGGCAGGTATAGAAGATGTAATGTGGTCTGCCTGAGGAGAACTCTGGGGCTCCTCTCTGTTCTAACATTCTAACTGGTAGCCGTGCTCTGTGAGCTCTGTGAGTGGCCGTGGCTCAGGAAGATTCTGATGATGATTCTAAAGAGCCAGTTTGTGTTCTTTCCTCACCACAATTCCTTTCATCCTTTATGAAGTTGTTTCCTCTCTTTCCTCCCCGCTGAGGAGAATGGCTGCCTCTCTCTTTATTGAAGCAGAACAAGGACATACATATTTTAAGAAGAAGAAGCATCATCAGCATTTGGGCACAATTTCCATTTTATTCAATGTTTCTCACTGTGAGTTTGAAAGGAATATTGAGCAAACTATTTCACTCAAGGCTGCATACAGGACTTATACTTAGATGAGATACTGAAATGACATCTAATACTGTATTTGTTGCAGGTTATCAATGTGTGAATCTCTTGCAAATCCGCTGAAATGGAATCTGAGTAGTCAGATGAAGGCAATCCCCTGTAAATCCTTTGTCCTCCATATCTCTACAGCCATAGCCCATCTTGTGCTGATTAAATGGCTCAGTAGTTTAAAAAAAGTTGCCTATAAATCATATTATTTTTATTAATAGCCTTCTCCCTCACAGGCTAGCAGTCAGCGGAGAGGACTATATCTCTGAGAGATGAATACCTTACTTTTAAACACACATTAAATTCAGATATTTAATCAAATTGCCAATTAACTGTATTGGCAAGGGTGACTGCATGCTGAGAATTAAGAGTTTTTCTTTGCTTTAATGAAAACATCAGACGAGATAAGCCCTATGGGAATGACCTTTATCTATTTATCCATTAATTAACTTTGTATTTTTTAAACATTGTAGCTCACAAGGGGGCCATACAGGTACATAGTGAAGCATTGACGTGAAATTCATTCAAACAGACATTTTCGAGAAAAACATTATAATCGAGGGTGCTATTACAGAACACTGCAGAAGCCTTTTTGTTTTCTATTCTGTGGCCTATAGCAGAGAGTACTGTATGCTACCCTTTACCTCTCTCTGTCTCTCTCTCTGTCTCTCTCTGTCTCTCTCTCTGTCTCTCTACCTCTCTCACTCTCACTCTCTTTCTCTGTCTCTCTCTCTCTCTCTCTCTCTCTCTCTCTCTCTCTCTCTCTCTCTCTCTCTCTCTCTCTCTCTGCCTCTCTCTCTCTCTGCCTCTGCCTCTGCCTCTGCCTCTGCCTCTGCCTCTGCCTCTGCCTCTGCCTCTGCCTCTGCCTCTCCCTCTCCCTCTCCCTCTCCCTCTCCCTCTCCCACTCTCTCTCCAGCCTCGCTCCAGCACAGTTTCCACCCACCAGAGCCTTCTCCACTGCTGGCAGGAAAAATGAGAGACAGAAAAATAAAAGATAAACACAGTAAACACAGTGTGCAGACTAGAGGTCATAGGTCTCCCCTTCCCCTCGTCTCTACTGTTCCTTTCCTCCCTCCACTTCCTCCTGTCTCTACCATTCCTCACTACCCTCCGCTTCCCCTGCTCCAGACACCACGACATGACCTAGACACCTCTTTATGGGAGAAACACAAGTAAACAGAGAGAAATCAATGCTTCTTTCAGTGTTCCTCCGTGTATGGCTAAACTAAAATATGAAGGACAGTATGTTCGCCGTAGGATTGTTGATGGGTTTGAAAAGCACACCATATGCACTTGTCACAGAGTGGATAATCCCCATATATCCTCCTGCATGGATGAAGGTTAATCTGTAGTTAAAAAGGAACTGGATTCAGAACACATCAAACTCTCACATCAAACTAAGTCTCTTTAGTAAATACAGCAGGGGAGAAATACTGTTTAGAAAAAATACTAAAAACATCTACAATCTAAAAGGGTTCCTCGGCTGTCCCCCTATGGGTTCTAGATGTTTGTAGTTCTTTTTCTAAAAGTGTAGCTAAACAGAATTTCTCCCCTGCTGTTACAACATATCTGGTCCACAGAAAGAGGCACTGAATGTCTTACCAATCTCTCCAAAGATCACATGCACACACTTGATGCACCCACGCACACAGTGCGTTCCTTTTACCTTCTGTAGTTCTCTTGACAGAGTGGACCTTTGTGATGTACAGTCATCATTATGTGGGATTAGTGTTTTTTAGCATGCTGTGATCTCCCAGGATTAAAGCAGATTACTTCATGTTTAAAACCACTGGGTTGCCAGATTTAAAGTTTTATCTTTTTACATCCACTAACTATGGTTAAGAAATTCAAACCTAATGCTGCACAGTGATCCTAGGGGGATCTACGGTAAACTCTCTTTTGAATGTCTGAAATGTTCCAAAAGCATAGCTGTAAACCTTGGAGGTCCCACATTCAAGTTGTCATCCTTGGAGAGGGTGTCTCAGATTGGTTTCGTTGATAGTCATTGTCCGTTGTTCCTCTCTCCGAAGTCGAAAACTACAGTATATAGCCAATCCCAACGTGATAGTGGAGTAAATTTGTATTTTTGTTGTGGATGTTTGAGTGAACAGGGAGAGTACGAGCTGGAGAGACATTTGTTGACGGAGTAAACCTGAGTCACAATCAAAACAATACCTGAACTCCAGTGGCGTGTATTCATGGATGCCAAGGGAAGCCAGGCTTGCCCCATAAATTGAAAATATATATATTTTTAAAGCAATAATTGTTATCTTTCATCTCTCTGTGTTTCATAATTTTCCTTCAATTCCGAAGAGGCTGAATGTACTGAATCTCAACGGAGAAAGCATCCAAGAGAGCAAAACAGCGCCCCTCTGTCTGTTTATGTGTAGCCCTGATGCTGTCTGGTCAAAAATAGTATGATATTGTTGCTGCCCGTAGCATTGAATGCAAGGGAAGCCATCGAGCATTTGGTCTCCCTTTATGAAATAAATGATACAATAACAGCCAATCAGCGTTGAGCTGAACTGAGGAGCTCAACTGTGAATGATCCTGGGTCACCCCCAAAAAAAGTGTCAAGGGAAGCATTTGGAAATTTGGATTTGGCTTCACACCAATCACATCAAAAGCCAAACCCCATTGACACAAAAAAAACTTGAATTGTTGCATCTTGTTGTGTTGTTGTCCTCTGGTGGCTAGCTAGCTAGCTAAAATTGGCACTTTCCTTAATTAGCCATGGATGGAGAAAGGGATTTGGACTTGTGGTTTTACTTAATTCTCTGTATTGGCCAATGATTATAATGGTGATTCTGATCCAATCATAAATTCATACATTGTGCCTCTGGCCTGAGAGGATGGAAGTCCAATATGTAGCTAGATGTGGTAGGCTAATGTTAACTAGCTAGCTCATTGTTGCCCATGTAAGGAAGTTAGGCTAGCGAGCAAGCGTTTTAGCCAGGAAGCATAGGATAACAAAAACTAAAAGCATGTACTGTTTGACAGATTCATAGACCGTTTCGTCAACATGAAAGAGAGGAGGACGGCATTGGCGTTTCTCTACAAGTAGGGTGAGTCAGCATGTTTTTTCTACTTACGCACTCAAACGCATGCAAGCAGGCATGCACACGCATACGCACACACACACACACACACACACACACACACACACAGCGGAATCAGTACCATGGACAGCCACATGATATTTAACTTATGTTACAGAGAATAGGATGACACATATTGTGACTATGGGTGAGTTCATATTGAAGAGTAGACAGGACATCATTAACAATGCAGAGAGCACTAAAGATTGACTGTAGAATCACTGTGGTCAGAGTCACTGTGGTGACTGAGGTCATGTTGTTTTACTGTCATTGATAATGTCATGCGGTTATGGTGATGCATAGACATGTGACTATTACTGAGCCATTCACAGTAATAGAGAATGCTTTACTTGAGTAACTGACAGGAATGAATGACTGATTTCTTATCAATAAGAAAAGTAGAAGCTGAAGATGCATGTATGTGTAGTAGGGACGTCTTCAGCCAGGCTGTCAGCTTTAGGATGGAACTTTTTCGGAGTGCAATATTAAGGGCACTTTTGGAAGTCTTATTCCAGTCTCCCCTTGCCCGCCATACCACTGCCCACCCATCTGTCTCCCGTTATCTCTGTCTACAGGTGTAGGATCTTAATTTGATCCCTCTTTTGTTGCTTAGAATTTTCAGATGAGCTTTGTGGTTTACATAAATTCACTGAAAACCCACACTAGGACACAGTTATATTAACAGTATTGCACTTTTCATTTTTGGCCAGCTGATAGCCTAACTATCGCTCAAGCAACATTATTGACTAAACGTTCAAATCCTGTTGCTGCAGGATTATTTTGCTGTGACAATATAGGTCAAATTAAGATCCTACATCTGTACATCTCTCTCTCTCTCTCTCTCTCCTTATACATCTCTCTATAGATGTTTGTGTCTGGGTTCAGAACACATTGACCTCTGCATCAACAATATCCGCCCCTCCACCAAGCAGAATGATCTGGATGTATCCAGGAGCATTCTCCACCAATTGGTGGGTGTTGACAGAATCGTTCACGAAGCCAGGATGTTACTTCTCTATATTACAGGGTCTTGCAGAAGCTCATAACCTTGACAAGAAAGGAGGAAGGGAGCTGCTATTGTTGTTGTGGTCAAAACAAGCGTTCACTATTTGTCTGTAACAGGCTTTGCGAGGCTCATGGCTTATGGAGCCCTGTTGAGGATCACGTTTGTTCTCTGTTGTTTCGATGGGAAGGATGGAAGTAGAGGGCTGCATTCCGCGGAATGCCCGCGGGACCTGAAGGTCCCGACAGAGATCATTGCGGCGAGGTCTGCATTTTTCATGCTGCGGGCGAGAGCAGGCGGTCAGACAGACGACTTTGGGATGAAAATATTTTTGTTGTCCCGCAGATTATTTGGAAACGGTTGTCTTTCTGCTTTGTATGCGTTAGCCTACCTATTGTATTAAAAGCACATATTTTTCGCATTATTCACACACTCAGAATTTGCTGCTTCAACTTCAGTAGCCTCTTTCCTAGTTGAGCGTGTGAGTTCAAGTGCGCCAAGTATGAGTGGTCTCATTGAAATAGAGTAGTCCGCCTACATGGGCGGAGAGCCGCGGGCAGATTTTAAGTGGATGGTCAGGGAGCCGGAACATAATTACAAATAATTTGTAGACTGCAAATTGACCACAAGTAGCCCAAACCTATATAATATTTGACTAAAACATTATAATTTCAAACCTTGCTTACGTTTGTATAGATCACATATATCTCTCTATTATGAGTTGGAATACTTTGGAAAAGATTTCCTAAATTAAAATCACTTGGAGCTGATTTGCTGGTGTTTTTTCACAGTCTTTTATGTCCCAGTAATACAGATAGTCTAATATAATGGGCAATGTGAGAATCTTAGGTAATTTAACCTATTTCTTAAGTTAATTTTGCGCATTTGATATTGCCTATAGGGCGCAAAATTGCTGGGACCATGGCTGGCAAGTGAGCTGCCTCACATATGCCTAAAAATAACATTGCGGCACTGCGGTTGGGTTTGGGACCAGTTCTTGCGGTAGCGGGTGGGATTCAGACAGAAAGCCGTACGACATGAAATGATGCGGATCCGCACGTAGGAGCGTGATGAAGAAATCGGTCCCGTGCAGACCTCTAGATGGAAGCACCCTGGCACAGAAGCACCAGTGAGGATTTTACATGAAATGTTAAATACCACTGGATCAATACTTTGGCCTGTACCTCTGCCGTCTGTCTGTTTGTGAGTCTCCTCACCTCTCATTAAGCGTCTCTGACCTATAGATCACTTCACATCCTACAGACAAACCTGCTAAGACTCCAATAGATATTCTTTATAATTCCACCAGAGTCCATGTGCACATTGACTAAAGATGATGATGAAAAATAGTCTGTTTTATCACAAATGTATCCAGCAATAGATTACCATCCGTCTAAGAATAAGGTGAGTGACTTAATTCAATCACACAGCCGTTGATAAAATGCCACAATAAACTGAACTCAAAGTAATTTCAAGCTGCCTTTCATGCTGTGTTACAACCTTCTAAACAAATCTTCTAAACAACAGGAATAGAGGGGGGTAGTGCCATCTTTTGGAGAGTCTGATTATAACAGATATGGACAATTTGATTGGTAAATGGAATGGATGCCTTTGTGTAGGCCTACAGTAGTAGGCCTATGTCGTTGTGTCAGTAAGTGTATATCTTTGGATGATAATGTCTTTGTGTTTAACCATAATGCCACCAGGGTTAAGTATGTTAGTGGAACTGAGAGAGCAGATGCTGAAAAAAAAGCTTTAAAAAACTGAGATAGCATAAACTGTTCAAACGTCTATGAAGAAGTTTTGTAACTGGCATCTGAGTACTGCAAGGGCTTTAATTTGATGAGATTATCATGGCTTTGATTTAAGGGGATCTGATCAAGCCATACTGAACTCTACAACAGTGTTGGTGAGTAGTTCCACTACATGTAATTCAACTAGTAATTTAACTGCATTTCTGGAGTATAGTCAAGTGTTTTCAGTAGTTAATTAGTTTTTTTTTGCCATGTAATGGTGTAGCTAACTACTGGAACTAACCATAAAAATGTTTTGCAAAAAAATAAAAACATAAAATTATTAGCAAAATAACTATGCCCTATTTTATTCTCTCCCTGACCACTGGGCTAACCCAATGCACTCACTTATGGCTGTCACAAAGATCTCACTACACTTATTTTTCATTGGCAAGATTAGCAAATTTAGGCATGACATGCCAGCAACAAACGCTGACACTACACATCCAAGTATAACTGATCAAATTATGAAAGACAAGCATTGTCATTTTGAATTCCGTAAAGTGAGTGTGGAAGAGGTGAAAATAAAAAATGATTGTTGTCTATCAACAATGACAAGCCACCGGGGTCTGACAACTTGGATGGAAAATTACTGAGGCTAATAGCGGACGATATTGCCACTCCTATTTGCCATATCTTCAATCTAAGCCTACTAGATAGTGTGTGCCCTCAGGCCTGGAGGGAAGCAAAAGTCATTCCGCTACCCAAGAATAGTAAAGCCCCCTTTACTGGCTCAAATAGCCGACCAATCAGCCTGTTACCAACCTTTAGTAAACATTTGGAAAAAATTGTGTTTGACCAGATACAGTGCTATTTTACTGTAAACAAATTGACAACAGACTTTCAGCACGCTTATAGGGAAGGACATTCAACAAGCACAGCACTTACACAAATTACTGATGATTAGCTGAGAGAAATTGATGATAAAAGGATTGTGGGAGCTGTTTTGTTAGACTTCAGTGCGGTTTTTGAATTTATCAATCATAGTCTGCTGATGGAAAAATGTATGTGTTATGGCTTTACACCCCCTGCTATATTATCCCCAAGTCCAGAATGTATTGTAATGTTTTTAAAATTGTATAAACTGCCTTAATTTGCTGGACCCCAGGAAGAGTAGGGGATCCATAATAAATACAAATACAAATACAAAATACAAACCCTATTCCACATCAGGTAACTGATGCAAGCAGTAGAATCAGATTTAAAAAAACATAAAAATACACCTTATGGAACAGCGGGACTGTGAAGAGACACACACACAGGCACAGACACACATACACATGATAAGATACTCACTCTACACACACGTACACATGGATTTTGTATTATATCTATGTGATAGTAGAGTAGTGGCCTGAGGGAACATACTTAATGTGTTATGAAAAGTGTTATGAAATGTAATGTCATGGAATATTTTAAATTGGATATAACTGCCTTAATGTTGCTGGACCCTAGGAAGAGTAGCTGCTGCCTTGGCAGGAACTAATGTGGATCCTTAATAAATAAAAACACAAATACAAAACATCTGATTCAGAAGAGGTCGTTTTGATCAGTGTACTACTTTTTCAATGTAACTTTAGTTAAACAAACTCTGTTTCTTAAGGGTAGATTTAGTGTAGTTCAAATTTTTCCAGTGTGAAATAATTGGTAGCTTGATAAACTATATTTTCAGAGAAGCTTCCCAAACATTGCTCTATAACATGTACAGTATAACTGTTAATTGTGAGGTGGTGCATAGGCCACACAAGACCATCTATCAACAGTTTATTCTTTATATGGTGGTGAACTGAACACCATATGCGCATAAATAACTATCCATTACCCCTCCAGGTCATAACTTCAGCAGAGACCACACTATAGGTTCACGGTAGATACCCACACCACGTGAAGAACAGCCCTGTAACTAGTAGACACCAGTAGAACCACCAGCTCTGTAACTAGTAGAAACCAGTAGAACCACCAGCTATGTAACCAGTAGAAACCAGCAGAACCACCAGCTCTGTAACTAGTAGAAACCAGTAGAACCACCAGCTCTGTAACTAGTAGAAACCAGTAGAACCACCAGCTATGTAACCAGTAGAAACCAGTAGAACCACCAGCTCTGTAACTAGTAGAAACCAGTAGAACCACCAGCTCTGTAACTAGTAGAAACCAGTAGAACCACCAACTCTGTAACTAGTAGAAACCAGTAGAACCACCAACTCTGTAACTAGTAGAAACCAGTAGAACCACCAACTCTGTAACCAGTAGAAACCAGTAGAACCACCAACTCTGTAACCAGTAGAAACCAGTAGAACCACCAGCTCTGTAACCAGTAGAAACCAGTACAACCACCAACTCTGTAACCATTAGATGCAGAGATCATTTTTCATCAACAGAAATACTGTATATTGTACTGTAGCTTAGAAAATACCTAGCCTGGTCCCAGATCTGTTTGTGCTTTTGACCATTGTCAATGTCATTGTTAAGCTAAACATTTGGCAAGACAATTCCATAAGGAGTTAGCAAGAGAGCAGAAACAGACTGGCACCAAGGCTAGAAAATACCACCTAGGTTGTCCATAACAATGTCAATGGTTTGAAAAAAATCATTATATTCATACATACAGTTGAAGTCTGAAGTTTACATACACCTTAGCCAAATACATTTAAACTCAGTTTTTCACAATTCCTGACATTTAATCCTAGTAAAAATGTCCTGTCTTAGGTCAGTTAGGATCACCACTTTATTTTAAGAATGTGAAATGTCAGAATAATAGTAGAGAGAATGATTTATTTCAGCTTTTATTTCTTTCAGCACATTCCCAGTGGGTCAGAAGTTTGCATACACTCAATTAGTATTTGGTAGCGTTGCCTTTAAATTGTTTAACTTGGGTCAAACGTTTCGGGTAGCCTTCCACAAGCTTCCCACAATAAGTTGGGTGAATTTTGGCCCATTCCTCCTGACAGAGCAGGTGTAACTGAGTCAGGTTTGTAGGCCTCCTTGCTCGCACACACATTTTCAGTTCTGCCCACAAATGTTCTATATGATTGAGGTCAGGGCTTTGTGATGGCCATTCCAGTACCTTGACTTTGTTGTCCTTAAGCCATTTAGCCACAACTTTGGAAGTATGCTTGGGGTCATTGTCCATTTGGAAGACCAATTTGCGACAAAGCTTTAACTTCCTGACTGATGTCTTGAGATGTTGATTCAGTATATCCACATAATGTTCCTTCCTCATGATGCCATCTATTTTGTGAAGTGCACCAGTCCCTCCTGCAGCAAAGCACCCCCACAGCATGATGCTGGCACCCCCGTGCTTCACGGTTGGGATGGTGTTCTTCGGCTTACAAGAACCCCCTTTTTCCTCCAAACATAATGATGGTCATTATGGCCAAACAGTTCTATTTTTGTTTCATCAGACCAGAGGACATTTCCCCAAAAAGTACGATCTTTGTCCCCATGTGCAGTTGCAAACCGTAGTCTGGCTTTTTTATGGCGGTTTTGGAGCAGTGGCTTCTTCCTTGCTGAGTGGCCTTTCAGGTTATGTCGATATAGGACTCATTTTACTGTGGATATAGATACTTTTGTACCTGTTTCCTCCAGCATCTTCACAAGGTCCTTTGCTGTTGTTCTGGGATTGATTTGCACTTTTCGCACCAAAGTACGTTAATCTCTAGGAGACAGAACGCGTCTCCTTCCTGAGTGGTATTATGGCTGCGTGGTCCCATGGTGTTTATACTTGCGTACTATTGTTTGTACAGATGAACGTGGTACCTTCAGGCGTTTGGAAATTGCTGGATGAACCAGACTTGTGGAGGCCCACCATTTTTTTTCTGAGGTCTTGGCTGATTTCTTTTGATTTTCCCATGATGTCAAGCAAAGAGGCACTGAGTTTGAAGGTAGGCCTTGAAATACATCCACAGGTACCCCTCCAATTGACTCAAATTATGTCAATTAGCCTATCAGAAGCTTCTAAAGCCATGACATCATTTTCTGGAATTTTCCAAGCTGTTTAAAGGCACAGTCAACTTAGTGTATGTAAACTTCTGACCCACTGGAATTGTGATACAGTGAATTATAAGTGAAATAATCTGTCTGTAAACAATTGTTGGAAAAATTACTTGTGTCATGCACAAAGTAGATGTCCTAACTGACTTGCAAAACTCTAGTTTGTTAACAAGAAATTTGTGGAGTGGTTGAAAAACGAGTTTTAATGACTCCAACCTAAGTGTATGTAAACTTCCGACTTCAACTGTACATGTTGATAGTAGTGGTGTGGTGGCTGGCACTCCAACCCATAATTTTAATGTTCAATAAACCTCATGAATAAATGATTTAATATGACAGATACTCATTACTTTCTGCTTGTTTCTAGTGGATTTGACACATCTATCTACAGTACAGCTGGTGCTTCTTTGTATGATCTTTTTCAGTTTTTATGTTCTGACACATTTTTTATTTCTTTTTATTTTACCTTTATTTAACTTGGCAAGTCAGTTAAGAACAAGTTCTTATTTACAATGACGGCCTACACCGGCCAAACCCGGACGACGCTGGGCCAATTGTGCGCCGCCCTATGGGACTCCCAATCACGGCCGGTTGTGATACAGCCTGGAATCGAGCCAGGGGGTCTGTAGTGACGCCTCAAGCACTGAGATGCAGTGCCTTAGACCACTGCGCCCATCCCACCTATAACCTGTGAACAGAGAGACCAATTTTCAATGCTTTGGGATGAAAATGAGAAATTGATTCCATTGTCATTTTGTGTGGTCAGTAATTGTCCCAGGCAATTGTGAGATGGAGAGAGAGAGAGAGACAACAGAGAGAGAGAGAGAGAGAGAGAGAGAGAGAGAGAGAGAGAGAGAGAGAGAGAGAGAGAGAGAGAGAGAGAGAGAGAGAGAGAGAGAGAGAGAGAGAGAGAGAAGAGTGTGAGAGATTTTCACTCTGTGCAGTGGTGCAGAACATTGTCCCTCTGTACAGTGATTTGTACAGACCTGGCCAGGTGGACGGTACAGGACCAATCAGTCGCAGCCTCACTGAGCAGGTGGAATGACTTTCATGCACTTTGAGCCAAATCTATTAGACATGTTCAGCTCTCTGTAAGGCTACCTGCACTTACCAACTTAGCGACCAGATGTTTGCCCTCGACTGGAGAATGGTGGAATGTGTTACTACTATCCCAGTGTTTCCCGAACTCGGTCCTCGGGACCCCAAGGGGTGCATGTTTTGGTTTTGCCCTAACACTACACAGCTGATTCAAATAATCAAAGCTTGATGATTAGTTGATTGTTTGAATAGTGTAGTGTAGTGTTAGGGCAAAAACCAAAACATGCACTCCGAGGACCGAGTTTGGGAAACACTGCACTATCCCTAGTTCTCTATGTTATAGTATTTTATCTTGTGTTATATTGTACTGTTTTTCCTAGCGGAACTGATATTAGTAAGATAATAGTGAGATCACCATTTGTTTATGTATGGGTTAGGGCTGTAAATATCACACAGAAAATGCTTAGTTTTCAGAGGGTTCAGTTAAGGAATATTTGGCGGGATACAGTCCTCTTATATGGAACAACCATATGTTACAGTGGGGAATAAAAGTATTTAGTCAGCCACCAATTGTGCAAGTTCTCCCACTTAAAAAGATGAGAGAGGCCTGTAATTTTCATCATAGGTACACGTCAACTATGACAGACAAAATGAGAATTTTTTTCCCAGAAAATCACATTGTAGGATTTTTAATGAATTTATTTGCAAATTATGGTGGAAAATAAGTATTTGGTCAATAACAAAAGTTTCTCAATACTTTGTTATATACCCTTTGTTGGCAATGACACAAGTCAAACGTTTTCTGTAAGTCTTCACAAGGTTTTCACACACTGTTGCTGGTATTTTGGCCCATTCCTCCATGCAGATCTCCTCTAGAGCAGTGATGTTTTGGGGCTGTCGCTGGGTAACACAGACTTTCAACTCCCTCCAAAGATTTTCTATGGGGTTGAGATCTGGAGACTGGCTAGGCCACTCCAGGACCTTGAAATGCTTCTTACGAAGCCACTCCTTCGTTGCCCGGGCGGTGTGTTTGGGATCATTGCCATGCTGAAAGACCCAGCCACGTTTCATCTTCAATGCCCTTGCTGATGGAAGGAGGTTTTCACTCAAAATCTCACGATACATGGCCCCATTCATTCTTTCCTTTACACGGATCAGTCGTCCTGGTCCCTTTGCAGAAAAACAGCCCCAAAGCATGATGTTTTCACCCCCATGCTTCACAGTAGGTATGGTGTTCTTTGGATGCAACTCAGCATTCTTTGTCCTCCAAACACGACGAGTTGAGTTTTTACCAACAAGTTCTATTTTGGTTTCATCTGACCATATGACATTCTCCCAATCCTCTTCTGGATCATCCAAATGCACTCTAGCAAACTTCAGACGGGCCTGGACATGTACTGGCTTAAGCAGGGGGACACGTCTGGCACTGCAGGATTTGAGTCCCTGGCGGCGTAGTGTGTTACTGATGGTAGGCTTTGTTACTTTGGTCCCAGCTCTCTGCAGGTCATTCACTATGTCCCCCCATGTGGTTCTGGGATTTTTGCTCACCGTTCTTGTGATCATTTTGACCCCACAGGGTGAGATCTTGCATGGAGCCCCAGATCGAGGGAGATTATCAGTGGTCTTGTATGTCTTCATTTCCTAATAATTGCTCCCACAGTTGATTTCTTCAAACCAAGCTGCTTACCTATTGCAGATTCAGTCTTCCCAGCCTGGTGCAGGTCTACAATTTTGTTTCTGGTGTCCTTTGACAGCTCTTTGGTCTTGGCCATAGTGGAGTTTGGAGTGTGACTGTTTGAGGTTGTGGACAGGTGTCTTTTATACTGATAACAAGTTAAAACAGGTGCCATTAATACAGGTAACGAGTGGAGGACAGAGGTGCCTCTTAAAGAAGAAGTTACAGGTCTGTGAGAGCCAGAAATCTTGCTTGTTTGTAGGTGACCAAATACTTATTTTCCACCATAATTTGCAAATAAATTCATTAAAAATCCTACAATGTGATTTTCTGGATTTTTTTCTCAATTTGTCTGTCATAGTTGACGTGTACCTATGATGAAAATTACAGGCCTCTCTCATCTTTTTAAGTGGGAGAACTTGCACAATTGGTGGCTGACTAAATACATTTTTTCCCCACTGTATAGGCCTTTGTTTTCACCTGCACTAAGCTTAATACAGCAATATTGCAGTACAATGAGTTTCTTTAATTGAGAACAAGGGCAAACCGCACAATTGCATAAAGAAACATACTTTTTTATTATGTTGATATTGTTTATATGTTCTGTAATATATGTATGTATATTTTTACATGGGCACAAGCTACTAAGGAACACATCCAGTAAGCAAACATAGAAAAATATTAGATTACTATTATTGGCACAGATGAAGTTCTATTATATTGTTAGCAAAAAGAAAATACTTGATTAAATAAATAAATACAATGGTACAAGTCAAATGTTGTTTTGTTTGTTGGTACATTCACACCAAACAGCTGGAAATGTGTCATATTAAAGCACAATCCTCAGCAGACAGACAATGATAACACCATTGAAATAAACTCACTACACAAACATGACACAAAGCTGCAGAGGGGTTGGGTTAAATGCGGAAGACACATTTCAGTTGAATGCATTCAGTTGTACAACTGACTAGGTATCCCCCTTTCCCTTTCCCCTTAGAGCATTTTATACAGAAGCACACACAGACCACAGGAGGCTGCCTAATAATGGCAGGAATGGAGTGAACAGAATGGTGTTCGATCCCGTTCCATTTATTCCATTCCAGCCATTACTATGAGCCGTCCTCCCCAATTAAGGTGCCACCAGCCAGCCTGTGACACACACAGTGTAACAAATAAGTATTCACTCTCACAACGATAAATAATAATCAAATAAAATACAAAACGGTAAGTCAACCATATCAGGGGTTGTTATGCTGACAGAGATAAGTCATATCTACTGTAGGGGTGAAGATGAAAGTAAGAAAAATAACCCTGTTTAAATAAAGTTACAATAATTTGAAATGGAAAGTGTTCATCTCTTCATAACAGCACCAGAACAGCAGACCTGTCTGACTGTGTGAAAGCAGGCAAGGATTTTCCCTTCAGAATGTTTTGTTTGACCAAAGAAACATAATGATCAAAATCCATTGAATAGAGCTGTATGTTGAGTATAAAGACGTATAGGCCTACAGGTATGATGTACCTTCAGGAAAACACAGAAACACACAAAAAAACTATTATGAAATATCAATAAATTAAACCACACAACCTATAAAGCATGAATATCAAAATCCCAATCCACACATGCCCTTGCCCTTGGAGAGAATGAAAACTCAAACCTTTACTTCACGAACAATGTGAACCTTTGGGCAAACAGACAAACAGATCATGGCCCTTTAAGGGTAAAAGCAAACAGGCAAGAGGGATGTCAGAAGGAAATTATGCATGAAGCCTGCTAGCTCTACCAGACTGCTGACACAGCTACTGTAGAGGTTTCACAACCAGCCATCCCCTCATCATCCTAACGCGAACAACCTAGCCCCTTTTCTATTGGTGTGTGTGTGTGTGTGTGTGTGTGTGTGTGGCGTGCGTGCATGCGTGTGTCCTAACGGGAGCCATTTAATTAAAGTCAATCACAGTGACACTCTGCTTACCAGGCAGCGCTGCAGCAAACAGAGCAGCCGCAGGAGCTCAACTTAAGAAAAAGACCACTTGGAGATGTCACCTTTTGTACTGCAAGGACACTACGACAGGGCTTAATGACAGTGACAACAGAAGACTAGGAGATGGGACATTACAATAGGAGATGAGTAAGGTCAAGCTTTGTCGCTTGGTGCTAGCTGCATGGACACATCCTTCAAAGTTAACTTGTGAGCGGAGAATGGAGTATGTACAATATCATGTAAAGCATCCATGCATGAAGGATAATGTTGGAGTGCATGGACTTCGTAAAGCAAGTGGTACTATAGGCCTACTTGCTGTAACGTCCACCATAAAGTGCACTTGTCCGTCAAACCAGTACAAAGAATAAATACAGGTCTGTATCGGTACATGACCTCCATAGATGCACATTCAGTCACCTCCAAGTGATACCATGACAACATCTCTGTAAATATACAAATGTAAACATTATTTGATCTTGATGGACAGAAGCACAGTGCCTACTAGTCAGTGCCTATAGTAGAGACACTGTACTCAGATGCAGGAAGGTGACACCTTCCTTATTATACTGTTCCTGTCATAGACAAGGTAGCGACATGAAAGGTTCGATCAATGCATACAAAATAGAACTCTAAAAGCAACGCACATATAGTATGAGAAATCGTTTGTAAAAATCTATGGTAATTTCCAAAGGAAATTTCATGATTCTATGATATTTAAAATCTTAATCAACCCAGATAATTACACAATGGACTCAGTAAAGTAATACTCATATCTCAGCATAGTAACACTCATATCTCAGTATAGTACTCATATCTCAGTATTGTATACTCATATCTCAGCATAGTAACACTCACATCTCAGTATAGTACTCATATCTCAGTATAGTAATACTCATATCTCAGTATAGCAATACTCATATATCAGTATAGCAATACTCATATCTCAGTGTAGTAATACTCATATCTCAGTATAGTAATAATCATATCTCAGTATAGTAATACTCATATCTCAGTATAGTAATACTCAATCTCAGTATAGTAATACTCATATCTCAGTATAGTAATACTCATATCTTAATAGGATCAATACAGTTGGTAGAAGGTAAATTATACCTTATGGAGGAGGTTGGGATATACCTTATTTTAAAGAACACAAAGGCATTATATGGTTGATAAGCGTTCAACTCAACTCAGCAGTTTGATTGACATACATCAATTCTTTCAACAAACACACACTTTTTAGATATGTAATATATATCAACTTATACAAGAAATATATAGAACACCTTTTTCTTGCATTTTATATATCACACTGTATACTGCAGAGAGGGTTAACCTCTTGATTTGGCCTTCATGTTATGTGTTGAAATTGTATGATATAAAATCCACAACACAATGGTCATACTCTGACGAACGTATGGATATAACCTAATAAAAAATACATTATTTAAAATTATATCTAAATTCCTTTCGTAAAAAGATACAGTTGCACTTTATACAATAGTTCTCTGTAGAGTTTGAAACATGTCTATTATAAAATGTACAATCAAGAAGTTCAATTCCAAGCAACTATCTCCTTAGTTTTTAACAATTTCATACATGTAATCCTTCAAGTAGATCCTTTATCCAGTGATTCATTCAGACTAGCCATTTCAGGTTAGGATTCATGACCAAAATGAAATGCTCTTGAGGATAAATATCATTTGGTAGTGCTTTGGGATGAACATTACATTTACTATACTTTGGGATGAAGGGGTGTTCATAAGGCCTACACAACATCAATATGAGCCACATGATGGGCCACGTCAGTCATTTCACTTGACATACTGTATACAACTGTTAATATGGATGGATTGTATAGAGTTTATGACCACCTCTTTGACAACAGGTGTAAACATATTTTATATATATATATATATATATATATATATATATATATATATATATATAGACACATTGTAAATAGTCATGGTGCAACCCCCTTTCTTTCACCAAATCCTCCTATCCAGTCAACCACAACAAGGAGATATTCATATAGACCTTGGGCCTCTCTAAGCCATATATATATATATATATATATATATATACACAGTTTCTTTATAGCTACAGCTCTATTTGAAATAGTGGTTCTACCTTTTTAAGTAGTTGAGCCCGTACTTGAAGTAGTTGAGCCTCTATTTAAAGGGATACTTCGGGATTTTGGCAACGAAGCCCTTTATCTACTTCCCCATAGTCAGATGAACTCATGGATACAATTTTTATGTCTCTGTATCCAGTATGAAGGAAGTTAGAGGTAGTTTCGTGAGCCAATGCTGACTAGCGTTAGCGCAAGGACTGGAAGTCTATGGTATCTACTAGCATGCTAACAGTTACCATAGACATCCAGTCATTGCGCTAACGCTAGTTAACAATTGCGCCAAAGCTAGTTAGCAACGTCCTTCAAACTGCACACAGAGACATAAAATGGTATCCACAAGTTAATCTGACTCTGGGGATGTAGATACAATTCTGAAGTATCCCTTTAATGAAATACTGTTTTAAGTAGTTTGAAGTTCTATTTGAAGTAGTTGAGCCCTGCGACCAGGAAGAACTTCTCCAAGAAGAGTTCAGAGTCGAGCACGGCGATGTGAGCGGCTCGGCCAATCAGGGTGTTGGCGGTGTTGGGCAGGGCGTGGAACACATTCTGGCGAATCAGACAACAGTCTTTAGCCCCCACCAACGGCTGGAGTAGGTTGTTGATCATCTCTGTGTACACTGGACCTTGGATATGGAGACAGAAGCACATGTTGGTTAGTGTACACAGAGACCTACAGTATGGAAACACAGACAGACACATTTTAGGGTTCAGTCTCTGATGGAACGATAAAAGCTGTCTGTATTTACGCAATCACATTGACACGTCAACAAAGAGATAGGTACAGTATGTGATGAAATGCTTCTTAGATACATTTGGTGGAGAATAATAAGAACATAGGAGCTGCAGTGAGTGGTGCTAACCTGTGGTCCTGTCTTTGAGTGCAGTCCTGCACATCTCTATCCTGGCAGAGTGGAAGGGAACATATCTGTCCTGAGGCGATGCCACCAACACCACATTCTTGAAGAACTGGAGCCCTGAGAAGCCAGACAAACAGAGGGCATAGACAGAGAGAGGGAGAGAGAGAGAGAGAGAGAGAGAGAGAGAGAGAGAGAGAGAGAGAGAGAGAGAGAGAGAGAGAGAGAGAGAGAGAGAGAGAGAGAGAGAGAGACAGAGAGACAGAGAGACAGAGAGACAGAGAGAGAGAGACAGAGAGAGAGAGAGACAGAGAGAGAGAGAGAGAGAGAGAGAGAGAGAGAGAGAGAGAGAGAGAGACAGACAGAAACAGAAACAGAGACAGAGACAGAGACAGAGACAGAGACAGAGACAGAGAGAGAGAGAGAGACAGAGACAGAGACAGAGAGAGACAGACAGAGAGAGAGAGAGACAGAGAGAGAGAGCGACAGAGACAGAGACAGAGAGAGAGACAGAGACAGAGACAGAGACAGAGAGAGAGAGAGATAGAGATAGAGAGAGACAGAGATAGAGATAGAGAGAGACAGAGAGAGACAGACAGAGAGAGAGAGAGAGATAGAGATAGAGAGAGGAGAGAGAGACAGAGACAGAGGTTATATTTATGTATCACTTGGTGTCATCATCATCGTCGACAGCCCTCGACTGATAAAGCTGTGTCTTTTCTCGTGTCTCCTGTCACTGTACTTTTAAGGGAGTGCACTGCTGGGTTTCAAATGACAGGGTTTGGATCATTTTGTCAGCCCGGCGAAGCTCGAAGAAAAAAGTGTTTTTCTGGCTTATCTACTTGGAGTCTTTGCTTTGTTCATCACACACAGGGGGGGGGGGGTCTGTGAGTAAGCCAGATGACATATGGAGAGGAAAAGAGAGAGAAGAAAAAAAGACGATCAAAGTTTTTATGAATATTTAAATATTGTGCTCCTACAGTATAGTTCGTCATCCATTATAGCAGTACCTACCTGGTTTCTGGCTGAGAAGATAGAGGAAGGTTTTCCGAGGATCGGTATGATCTCTGCAGGTGAGCTGCAGCAACGATCCGGATTTCTTCAGCTTCTGCATCAGCCACAGACCTAAAACAACCACAGACATCAGCCATAGACCTAAAACAACACTGACATCAGCCACAGTCCTGTAACAATCCTATGAATTACAGACATACACTTCCCCCTTTGAAGACTCAACAGTGGGAGCAGGACAGAGCAGAGCTGAATACAATTACTACACAGAATGGTAAGAGTCAAAACCAGAATCAGAAACACTCCTTGCAGTAATACAGTATATATCTGCAATGAGCTGTTTCTACTCTCCATGGCCTGTTTTTTGCAAGGATTTCAAAGGTCCAAGAAAGTAGGTAAGTATACTGACCCCTCCCTCCCCACCTCACCTGTGCTGACCAGCGTGCTGTTGCTGTACAGCGTTCCCAGGTGTGGTCCGGACAGAGACAGGAAGGTGTGCAGTTTGATCAGGTAGCAGCGGAACCGAGGCCTCGTCAGCACCGACCGGATGATCACGTTCCCCAGAGAGTGACCGATGAAACTGAGGGTCGGAAAGAGGAGACAAACAGAACAGAGAAATGACTGCTGACACCCAGGTCTCGTTAGACAAAAGGGAACACAATGAGAAGACCTCCAAGACTGACTGCACAGCTTCATATTATAGATTAGAAGCTATGCACAGAAAAAAGTGCCTCCAATTCTTTGGCCCCCTGCTATTTACTCTATCAGTATAAAGTGTTCAGGATGAGGGTAGCTCGTCCAATCTGTTTTTAACTCCAAAGAGATGATTAATGTTCAAATAAGCGTCCTCCAAAGCAAGGTGACGTCTTGACGTCTTAATTGCTAAGATAGTGGTAGCTAGAATAATTAGCTGCCTTGTCCCAGTAGTCAATGAGACACTTGATTTCCTTAGATGTTCATTTCTCATCTGCTAATTACAGTAGTATCATCATCAAAGTACTGGGCAGCATCCCTCAACACCAGCTCCTAACAACTTCCTCATCTGTTTCCTCTAATACTAAATATAGAGGCGATGTGGAGAGAGACAGCTGCTACTGTGGCACTCCATGTCTTTAGTCACAGTTCTTCAGAGTATAAACAATGTTGAAAAGAATGCATACTTAAATAGCATACCCAGAAACTCAGATAGGAAAATTGGCATATTTAGGGCAATTATTGTACATTATGAATTATTGTACTTGGACCCATTAGAAGTGTGTTATGCTGCGGAGATAAATATGTTTCAGTTCTTCATATCAAAGACAATGCTAAGTGATTGACAGTGCATGGGAATATCCTCCATTATTGCGTTAATAAAACTTTCTCTAACTCAGAGGAGGCTGGTGGGAGGGGCTTTAGGAGGATGGACTCATTAAAAAGAATACGCTACTTATTATTTTATCTATAATATTCGGTGCAAAAATAACGTTATTTTTTTGATCACTTTAAACATTTATTTTGGGATCCACCCCTGTGAACTTAATTTGGCCGAGTGACGTGCGAGTGGAGAAGGACTGTCTCATTTCAAGAAAGCACATTTCCATCCACGTTCACTCTTCTTGCCGACTCTCCTTGATTAACTTTTACCTTTTTCAAAAGGAGGCGAGAGAGGACGGAGGAGAGAGGATGCAGGAGTTGAGCAAATCTAATTGATAAAAGGCCATGGGGAAGATCTTAACGTACTGCTCGCGTACTATCTCCTCTCTCCTCTCTCCTCGTCTCCTTCTCAAAACTCATTGGAGAATGTCAGAGGGGTGGGGCCTCTGGCTTTTTCATCCAATGGGTTTTGAGAAGGAGACAAGGAGAGAGGACGCGAGGATAATGTAATTGAGATCGTCCCAGGGAATATCATAATGTTTCATATGCTGCCATCTAGTGGATATAAAGAATACTATATCTATTTTGTTTCTCCATTCCCTCCTATTAGCGTACCTGTGTCTTTATGTTATGTAGTAGTTAGGATACTGACCTGGATGTTGTGTGGTAGTTAGATCTGACCTAAATGTTGTATGGTACTTAAAACGGACCTTAATATTGTGTGGTAGTTAAAACTGACCTTAATGTTGTGTGGTAGTTAGAACTGACCTTAATGTTGTGTGGTAGTTAGAACTGACCTTAATGTTGTGTGGTAGTTAAAACTGACCTTAATGTTGTGTGGTAGTTAGAACTGACCTTAATGTTGTGTGGTAGTTAGAACTGACCTGGATGTTGTGTGGTAGTTAGAACTGACCTGGATGTTGTGTGGTAGTTAGAACTGACCTGGATGTTGTGTGGTAGTTAGAACTGACCTGGATGTTGTGTGGTAGTTGGAACTGACCTTAATGTTGTGTGGTAGTTAGAACTGACCTTAATGTTGTGTGGTAGTTAGAACTGACCTTAATGTTGTGTGGTACTTAGAACTGACCTTAATGCTGTGTGGTAGTTAGAACTGACCTTAATGTTGTGTGGTAGTTAGAACTGACCTTAATGTGGTGTGGTAGTTAGAACTGACCTTAATGTGGTGTGGTAGTTAGAACTAACCTGGATGGTGTGTGGTAGTTAGAACTGACCTTAATGTTGTGTGGTAGTTAGGAGAATTACTTTAATGTTGTGTAGTGGTTAGGATACTGACCTTATCCGTCCGATGGTGAGGTTGTACAGCTGAATGTGCTGGATAATCTCGTCTAGTAGCCTGTCCGTCATGGTATCGAAATCTGCAAACGTGTCAGTCTGCAGCCAAGCAAGAGGAAAACAACACACATATTTTCACATTTATTTAACCAGGAAATCCTATTGAGATCAAAATACCTCTTTTACAAGGGTGATCTGGCATACGTGGCCTTAAATTAAAGCATATTCACAGGATTTGCTCATACATATTATCGATTCTCTAAAATCAATGTTTATTGTATTAATGTGCAGACAGAATAGTCTGTATTTTACCTGGTTCCTCTCAGACATGAGGAAGTCCAATCTGGACCCTGGTAATCCCAGCTCTATGAAGGTCTTCACCAGGCGAAGGTCTGCACTGTTCCCTAGGAGGAGACAATACAACAATACACCTTTAAACTCCTGGCCCTGATCAGTATGTAAGTATAGAGGTGGGACCCAAACCATATTCTGGACTATTCAGTTCAGTTCTTTTGAGTAAAGCTTTATTGTTCTAGCATTGGACAACATTGTGTGATGTTTTATCATCCAGGCCATGGACATACACAACCAGGTGGATCAGGAGATTGGCTGATTTAGTTGATTTGATTGATTGTTTAATTGATTGATTGATTGTCTCACCATCAAGGCCGTGGACACAGACAACCAGGTGTATGCCATCCTCAAACTCCTCATCCTCCTCCTCAGGGGGGAAGTAGGGCAGGTCGGAGGCCAGGTGAGGGAGGTCACTGTAAAGGGTTGCCTTGAACACCAGCTCCTTCACCAGATCCTCTTTGGACCTGTAGAAACTGGAACACAGTGCAGGCAGAGGGGACAGGTGATGGTCAGAGGTGGCATCATTATGGGAAATCACATGCATATGCACACACTCAGAGGAACTCATCATTAAAGAGGTCAAAGAGCAATGAAAACGTCTGACTTCTCACACATCTATGACTGGTTCACCACAACTTACTGCAGCATCCTCTCGTTTGTTTCGTCATCTGGCCCCAGGGCGTTGGACGAGGACGAGGAGATGATGCCGAAAGAGCCCAGGGGCTGATGGGTAATGGGTGATGCGGCTTGTCGAGTGGAGATGCCGCTAATGGACGGTGAGTCCCGGACGACGGAGGAGAAGGGAAGACAGGTCGGAGCGCAGGACACGGACATATTCACCACCTCCACCACCTTCCTGTTCATAAAGGATAGGCCTGACCCTGAGTTTGACCCTGAGCTTGACCCCGAGGCCGACCCTGACCCTGAGCTACTGGGGATCTTAGCCAGCTTGGTCTGACCGTTGAGATCCAGCTGCTCTCTCTCATTGGCCGGGAGCCCTATGAGATCATCAAGCCTGGCCGTATCATTGGCAATAAGGCCTATGAGGTGGATGGGTCTCTCTGTGGGTTTGGGGATAGAGGAGATAGGCCTGGGGTCATGGAGGCTCTTCCTCTGTGAGACCACCACCAGGTCACGCAGCCCAACCCGATGGAGGCTCTGGGAGGGAGTCTGGTGATGATCCAGCCGTTCCTGGTCAACAAGGTTGTTCAATCCAATCTGATGGAGACTCTGACAGTCATCCCTGACTGGATATCCCTCCACATCATCCACCAGCACACTGCTGTCATGTTCACAGGGTTTGGTCTCACAGCTACAGGGGGTGATCTCTACTTCACAGAGACCTGGGTCCACTGAGTTTAACACACCACTGCTGTCTCCTCTGTGATGGTTCTTATCCTCCATCTGATGGACTATAGCTGGATCCTTCACGTCATCATGGCCTTCAACATACTGTTGGAACAGCAAGACTTCAGGAACTCGACTAACGCCACTTAACACTGCCTTCATGTCCTGAGTGTCTGACAGGGCCTCTGGCAGAGCAGATTTATTAGATCTACAAGTTTCTTTAAGATCACGACCACTCTCCTGATGAGCTCTGGTCACCTGCTGGGGTGATGAGGGAGCTGCTCCCCAGTCAAACAGACCAACCTCAGGCAGCTCTCCCTCCTGGATGTCCTCCAGAGAGGAGTGGTTTACCCCGGATAAGGACTCCAGGTGTCTGATCAAGTCCCCAGTCGTTACATTGGTGGCAGCAGTGGAGATTGAGGAGTATCCCTCCACCTGGTCCTGGTAGCCGCTGGTCCCCTCGCTCTCCGTGTCTACCTCCTCCTCCTCTCCTCCCTGGTCCTCCTCTGTGTCCTCAGGGCTGGAGATCTGAGGAGCCGAGACAGACTTGGTCAGTTTACTGAGCTGGTTCCTCTGTTCCTCGTCGTCCTCGTAGGGCAGGGAGGAGATGGAGGTGAGGGAGGCCTGGATGCCAGCGCTGCCACCCCCTCCGTTGGGCAGGCTGCCCCCGCTGGTTCCGCTTTCTGTCTGCAGGCCCTCCAGGGAGCTGCGGTGGGCCGGGTGTCTCCTCACCAGGGGCTGCAGTACCAGGTTCTCCTCCAGAGGGCGCCCTCCCCCCGTCCGATAAACGTCCATGGGCCAGACCATCGAGCTGGGCTCGCTCTCGATGCCAGAGTCGGAGATGACGGAGGGGGAGCGGTTTAAGATCTTGTTGCCACCCACCCCCACCCCTCGGTGGGCCAGCTCTCTCCTCAGGTCCGTAGGTAGAGGGGGCGTGAGGGGAGGATCTTTGAGTGGAGCCTGGGGGTTAGTGGTTAGACTGCTCAGAGGAACATCCTCGCTGTCGTCGTCCATAGCAACGTCATTCTCTTCTACATCCAAGTCATTTCCTGTACTGATAATGTTCTGGTATCTCTGTGTGATGATGTCTTGGTGGTTCTCCAAGTCTTTCCAAGTCGCGTCTTCACTGTTAGAGGTATGCTGTGGGTCTGTACAGTGTTTGTGGTTGGAGGAGACCATCAGCGCTGCCTCTCCTCTGAACCTCAGGCCTAAACCAGGGCTCTCCTCTGAGATCTCCTCTGCCTCGGCCTGCTCCTCTGGATCCCCTGGCTGGACTGGCTCTCCCTGGTCTGGGTCTGCCTGGTCTGGGTCTGGAGTCTCAATAGATGCAGAACCTATCTTGTCAGTAATAATGCTGGTGCTCTGCTCTCCTATGAGAGACCTGTATGTATCCTCATTGTCTTTAGGCTCCTGGGTTGGTATTGTTGGTGAGCTGGTGAGCTGGTCCAGGGCAGGAGGACTAATGTTTGCATCAGTGACAGGAGGGTTGGGGATGGTCTGCTCACTGGTGGACAGATGTGTTGGCACATATGATCCCCAATCTATAAATAAAGATGGAGAAAAATGTTAGGTCTTACGCTAATAGTAGATGTTTAAATTATGCAGATCTACACTACTTTAATAAGTATAGATCTGAACCAGATAAAACAGTATTGCTAGCACAAATAAAAGCAAACTCAGGCCAGGATTCAAACTAAAACAGATAAACAACCTATGTACTGCTTAAAGGTGAATTCTTGTTGAGCCATCAGTGATATTTTCGCCACAAACATCAGGAAATTGCCTTTAACCTTCTAGAGTTAAAGCCTTGTCTAAACTGGGGGGGGGGGGGGGGGGGGGGGGGGGGTTCTAAGCTAACATACGGAATTGTTTTAAAATGATCACACCAAGGATCATTTAGCTATTTGATTTTAAATTTTAAGACCCCTTAAGGTATCAAAAAAATATATAAAACAATTATTGGATGACACATTGAATTTGGCATTACTGCTATTAGCCAATAGAAACGCATTGAATAACAGATTCACTACATGGAACAACAGATCGTCCCAAAACAAATCTAAAGGAAGTTTGTTCTGAGAGGAAACCATTTTCTTAATTTTTTAGGCACTAAACTATCTCTATACAGTGAGGGGAAAAAAAGTATTTGATCCCCTGCTGATTTTGTACGTTTGCCCACTGACAAAGAAATGATCAGTCTAAAATTTTAATGGTAGGTTTATTTGAACAGTGAGAGACAGAATAACAACAAAATAATCCAGAAAAACGCATGTAAAAAATTTTATAAATTGATTTGCATTTTAATTAGGGAAATAAGTATTTGACCCCCTCTCAATCAGAATGATTCTGGCTCCCAGGTGTCTTTTATACAGGTAACGAGATGAGATTAGGAGCACACTCTTAAAGGGTGTGCTCCTAATCTCAGCTTGTTACCTGTATAAAAGACACCAGTCGACAGAAGCAATCAATCAGATTCCAAACTCTCCACCATGGCCAAGACCAAAGAGCTCTCCAAGGATGTCAGGGACAAGATTGTAGACCTACACAAGGCTGGAATGGGCTACAAGACCATCGCCAAGCAGCTTGGTGAGAAGGTGACAACAGTTGGTGCGATTATTCGCAAATGGAAGAAACACAAAAGAACTGTCAATCTTCCTCGGCCTGGGGCTCCATGCAAAATCTCACCTTGTGGAGTTGCAATGATCATGAGAACAGTGAGGAATCAGCCCAGAACTACACGGGAGGATCTTGTCAATGATCTCAAGGCAGCTGGGACCATAGTCACCAAGAAAACAATTGGTAACACACTACGCTGTGAAGGACTGAAATCCTGCAGCGCCTGCAAGGTCCCCCTGCTCAAGAAAGCACATATACATGCCCGTCTGAAGTTTGCCAATGAACATCTGAATGATTCAGAGGAGAACTGGGTGAAAGTGTTGTGGTCAGATGAGACCAAAATCGAGCTCTTTGGCATCAACTCAACTCGCCGTGTTTGGAGGAGGAGGAATGCTGCCTATGACCCCAAGAACACCATCCCCACCGTCAAACATGGAGGTGGAAACATTATGCTTTGGGGGTGTTTTTCTGCTAGGAGAAGATCTGCAAAGAGGAGTGGGACAAAATCCCTCCTGAGATGTGTGCAAACCTGGTGGCCAACTACAAGAAACGTCTGACCTCTGTGATTGCCAACAAGGGTTTTGCCACCAAGTACTAAGTCATGTTTTGCAGAGGGGTCAAATACTTATTTCCCTCATTAAAATGCAAATCAATTCATAAATTTTTTTACATGCGTTTTTCTGGATTTTTGTTGTTGTTATTCTGTCTCTCACTGTTCAAATAAACCTACCATTAAAATTATAGACTGATCATTTCTTTGTCAGTGGGCAAACGTACAAAATCAGCAGGGGATCAAATACTTTTTTCCCTCACTATATACTTCCATAAATGTTTTAAACTGGTACCAGGGACCTTCAGATGAGGCTTGTGCAAAACAGAGAACACCATCATGTTCGTGAGAGTCCCATCTTTTAATAGAGTGGTCATAATAGTTTTTTTATGTCAAACCGTTCGGACGCTAGACGTTTTCATGAGAAGACCGATTTTCGGGATGTCTCATTGTCTGACAAACACCGCTCTAGCTCTGCCACATTTCACCACAGATGTAGAAGGGCGATATCGGCGGATGCTGTGGATTGAGACGCAGCCCATGCAAAAAAACACATATCTCTCTAGCTTAAACAGACGGATTTTGAAGGGGATTTTTGTATTATGTTAATTAGATTTCCGCAGGCCGCAGAAATTGTAGGCGAAGGGTTCAAGTTTATCGCTATTGAATGAAATCCTGGACTTAGTCAACTCACTTGTCCGTGGAGACTCTACATATCTGTCTTCGAAGATGATAGGCAGGCTGTTCCAGTCTCCGTCAATGTCCAGGCACTCTACAGGTAATGGTGGCATCCTGGTCAGGTAGTTGGAGTTACGCACCTCGACTGCTATCTGACCGTGTCTGTTGATCCTTTAACCAGGAAATAGAAGATAGAGGAAGAAGAAGAAGAAGAAGAAGAAGAAGAAGAAGAAGATGTAGAAGAAGTAGAAGAAGAAGAAGAAGAAGAAGAAGAAGAAGAAGAAGAAGAAGAAGAAGAAGAAGAAGAAGAAGAAGAAGAAGAAGAAGAAGAACTGCTTTCTATCATAACCACTCAAACACATTCGGCCTACTTTTTTTCCATTCATAGAATTATGTCTTAGGTAAAGCATTGACATAAAAGTAAATCTAAAACAGAGTGACAAAACTGCATCATTGTGCTCCTGGAATGGCAGTACTCACAGGTCCTCTTGAAATGTCAGGGATGTCTCTTTGGGGTGTTCTGTGAAGAAGTATGCCTCTGAAAACCGCCTGACCTGACATCACCACAAAATACAAACAAGAAGCATCTTCATTTCCTCACTGAGAAACTTACAGAGTTAGTACTGTATGCATGAAAGGCAATGATTTGATCTTCAAAATAACAACATCAAAAAGAGAAATGACAGAAATGTGTTAATGGTGTAAAAGTGTTAGTGTTAAAATACAGGTAACTAACGAAATAATGGAAACACTTGAGTAAATTAGGGATACAAAGTGTATTGAAAGCAGGTGCTTCCACACAGGTGTGGTTTCTGAGTTATCTAAGCAATTAACATCCCATCATGCTTAGGGTCATGTATAAAAATCCCTTTAACAGAAATAAATACAAAAATCCCTCTAAAGTATAACTAAACCTGCCACCTTTTATAAAGTCACAGATTGTGACAGAGACAGACAGAGTCAGGAACATCAAGAAACAGTGTTACAGTGTTTCTGTATGTTTGTTCCTCAGGATAATTACAGAATAAATGTTCATTGAAATCCCACCTATCCTGTGGGTGGAACCATGAAACTAACCCCTGAAGGTAAACTAATATGGAGAGTCCAGTGGAGGCTGCTGAGGGGAGGACGGCTCATAATAATGTCTGGAACTGAGAAAATGGAATGGCATCAAACCATGTGTTTGATGTATTTGATACCATTCCACCTATTCCGCTCCAGCCATTACCACGAGCCCGTCCTCCCCAATTAAGGTGCCACCAACCTCCTGTGATGGAGACATGGGTGCACTTCAGCCACGCTCAAGGTCCTAAACGATATTATAACCGCGATCGATAATAGACAGTACTGTGCAGCCGTCTTCATCGACCTGGCCAAGGCTATCGACTCTGTCAACCAACGCATTCTTATAGGCAGACTAAATAGCCTTGGTTTCTCAAATGACTGCCTCGCCTGGTTCACCAACTACTTCTCAGATAGAGTTCAATGTGTCAAATCGGAGGGCCTGTTGTCTGGACCTATGGCAGTCTCTATGGGGGTGCCACAGGGTTCAATTCTCGGGCCGACTCTTTCTCTGTGTATATCAATGATGTCGCTCTTGCTGCTGGTGACTCTCAGATCTACCTCTACGCAGACGACACCATTTTGTATACATCTGGACGTTTATTGGACACTGTGTTAACAAACCTCCAAACGAGCTTCAATGCCATACAACACTCCTTCCGTAGCCTCCAATTGCTCTTAAACACTAGTAAAACTAAATGCATGCTATTCAATCGAACGCTGCTGGCACCCGCCCACCCGACTAGAATCACTACTCTCGGCGGGTCTGACCTAAGGTATGTGGACAACTACAAATACCTAGGTGTCTAGTTAGACTGTAAACTCTCCTTCCAGACTCACATTAAGCATCTCCAATCCAAAGTTAAATCTAGAATCGGCTTCCTATTTCGCAACAAAGCCTCCTTCACTCATGCTGCCAAACATGCCCTCGTTAAACTGACTATCCTACCGATCCTTGACTTCGGCGATGTCATTTACAAAATAGCCTCCAACACTCTACTCAGCAAATTGGATGTAGTCTATCACAGTGCCATCCGTTTTGTCACCAAAGCCCCATATTCTACCCACCACTGTGACCTGTACGCTCTTGTTGGCTGGTCCTCACTACATATTCGTCGCCAAACCCACTGGCTCCAGGTCATCTATAAATCACTGCTAGGCAAATCCCCGCCTTATCTTAGCTCATTGGTCACCATAGCAACACCCACCCGTAGTATGCGCTCCAGCAGGTATATCTCACTGTTCATCCCCAAAGCCAACACCTCCTTTGGCCGCCATTCCTTCCAGTTCTCTACTGCCAATGACTGGAACGAACTGCAAAAATCTCTGAAGCTGGAGACTCTTATCTCCCTCACTAACTTTAAGCATCAGTTGTCAGAGCACCTTACCGATCACTGCACCTGTACACAGCACATCTGAAATTAGCCCACCCAACTACCTCATCCCCATATTGTTAATTATTTTGCTCATTTGCACTCCAGTATCTCTATTTGCACATCATCTCTTGCACATCTACAGTGGGGGAAAAAAGTATTTAGTCAGCCACCAATTGTGCAAGTTCTCCCACTTAAAAAGATGAGAGAGGCCTGTAATTTTCATCAACTATGACAGACAAAATGAGATTTTTTTTCTCCAGAAAATCACATTGTAGGATTTTTAATGAATTTATTTGCAAATTATGGTGGAAAATAAGTATTTGGTCAATAACAAAAGTTTCTCAATACTTTGTTATATACCCTTTGTTGGCAATGACACAGGTCAAACGTTTTCTGTAAGTCTTCACAAGGTTTTCACACACTGTTGCTGGTATTTTGGCCCATTCCTCCATGCAGATCTCCTCTAGAGCAGTGATGTTTTGGGGCTGTCGCTGGGCAACACGGACTTTCAACTCCCTCCAAAGATTTTCCAAGGGGTTGAGATCTGGAGACTGGCTAGGCCACTCCAGGACCTTGAAATGCTTCTTACGAAGCCACTCCTTCATTGCCCGGGCGGTGTGTTTGGGATCATTGTCATGCTGAAAGACCCAGCCACGTTTCATCTTCAATGCCCTTGCTGATGGAAGGAGGTTTTCACTCAAAATCTCACGATACATGGCCCCATTCATTCTTTCCTTTACACGGATCAGTCGTCCTGGTCCCTTTGCAGAAAAACAGCCCCAAAGCATGATGTTTCCACCCCCATGCTTCACAGTAGGTATGGTGTTCTTTGGATGCAACTCAGCATTCTTTGTCCTCCAAACACGACGAGTTGAGTTTTTACCAAAAAGTTCTATTTTGGTTTCATCTGACCATATGTCATTCTCCCAATCCTCTTCTGGATCATCCAAATGCACTCTAGCAAACTTCAGACGGGCCTGGACATGTACTGGCTTAAGCAGGGGGACACGTCTGGCACTGCAGGATTTGAGTCCCTGGCGGCGTAGTGTGTTACTGATGGTAGGCTTTGTTACTTTGGTCCCAGCTCTCTGCAGGTCATTCACTAGGTCCCCCCGTGTGGTTCTGGGATTTTTGCTCACCGTTGTGATCATTTTGACCCCACGGGGTGAGATCTTGCATGGAGCCCCAGATCGAGGGAGATTATCAGTGGTCTTGTATGTCTTCCATTTCCTAATAATTGCTCCCACAGTTGATTTCTTCAAACCAAGCTGCTTACCTATTGCAGATTCAGTCTTCCCAGCCTGGTGCAGGTCTACAATTGTGTTTCTGGTGTCCTTTGACAGCTCTTTGGTCTTGGCCATAGTGGAGTTTGGAGTGTGACTGTTTGAGGTTGTGGACAGGTGTCTTTTATACTGATAACAAGTTCAAACAGGTGCCATTAATACAGGTAACGAGTGGAGGACAGAGGAGCCTCTTAAAGAAGAAGTTACAGGTCTGTGAGAGCCAGAAATCTTGCTTGTTTGTAGGTGACCAAATACTTATTTTCCACCATAATTTGCAAATAAATTCATTAAAAATCCTACAATGTGATTTTCTGGAGAAAAAAAATCTCAATTTGTCTGTCATAGTTGACGTGTACCTATGATGAAAATTACAGGCCTCTATCATCTTTTTAAGTGGGAGAACTTGCACAATTGGTGGCTGACTAAATACTTTTTTTCCCCACTGTATCATTTCAGTGTTAATACTAAATTGTAATTATTTTGCACTATGGCCTTACCTCCATAACTTGCTATATTTGCACACACTGTATATGTATTTTCTGTTGTATTTTTTACTTTACGTTTTGTTTACCCCATATGTAACTCTGTGTTGTTGTTTTTTATCGCACTGCTTTGCTTTATCTTGGCCAGGTCGCAGTTGTAAATGAGAACTTGTTCTCAACTGGCTTACCTGGTTAAATAAAGGTGAAATAAATAAAACATACTGTGTTCATTATGACTCACTGACTGACAGACTGACAGACAGACAGACAGACAGACAGACAGACAGACAGACAGACAGACAGACAGACAGACAGACAGACAGACAGACAGACAGACAGACAGACAGACAGACAGACAGACAGACAGACAGACAGACAGACAGACAGACAGACAGACTGACTGACTGACTGACTGACTGACTGACTGACTGACTGACTGACTGACTGACAGGAGAGATGAAACTAACACTGTGAGAACCAAGAGCCTGGAGACCTGCTAGCAACACTAAGGAGAGGGGTGGGAATAGTCTTACATTAATATTAATCATTCCAATGATTAAATGCAAATTACATTTGGGATACTCAGATATAATGTCTATTCAAGGTATTGAGGTCTATAGGGACTAATCATCAGCTGGTGTATTTTACCTGGCTGTAATACCCTTACGCAATCTGACACACACAAAACCTATTTAGAATAGTGGGCTTTGGAGTGTTCAAGACCTCGTCTTCTAGTGTTACATACTTCATAATATATAAGATAGACTGTATGGGGGTGTGTGATGTTCCTGAGGAGGTCAGAGGATTGAGGTCAGGGGTTAGGACTCACCCTGAGTGTGTGGTGTTCCTGGGCCAGGTGGGACAGGATGTGTGTGTTGGGTACGGCAGCCTCCAGGAAGCGGGTCCACAGAGCCGACAGCTGGGAGCAGAGCTGGGTCAGGTCTCTACTGATCTGTTCTGCTACCTTCTCATGTCCCCCCTGCAGCTAGAGGAGGAGAAGAGAGTGGATACAGATAGTATCTCTTTATATGCTCAATGACTTTATCCAGATGCCACTAGTATCTTAGATATATAGTAAAAGTACATGTAACTGCCAGAATAATGGTAACTCTTGAGTAAATGAGGGATACAAAGTATATTGAAAGCATGTGCTTCCACACAGGTGTGGTTCCTGAGTTAATTAAGCAATTAACATTCCATCATGCTTAGGGTCATGGGTCAATGCTGGGAAGGCCATTATTTTGGCTACCATGGATATGCCCCAATCCATGAGTGGTCACTAAATGGTTTGATGAGCATGAAAATGATGTAAATATGCCATGGCCGTCTCAGTCACCAGATCTCAACTCAATTGATCACTTATGGGAGATTCTGGAGTGGCGCCTGAGACAGTGTTTTCCACCACCATCAACATAACACCAATAGAGTTTCAGACACTTGTAGAATCTATGCCAAGGTGCATTGAAGCTGTTCTGGCTCATGGTGGCCCAACGCCCTATTAAGACACTTTATGTTGGTGTTTCCTTTATTTTGGCAGTTACCTGTATGTTGTTCAAGTAAATAAATTAATAATGGAATTGTAGCTCAATTGGTAGAGCATGGCGCTTGTAACGCCAGGGTAGTGGGTTCGATCCCCAGGACCACCCATACGTAAAAATGTATGCACGCATGACTGTAAGTCGCTTTGGATAAAAGCGTCTGCTAAATGGCATATTATATTATTATGGAAATACTAGTAGAACATTGGAGAGGAAAGAAAGTATAGCTAATATAAAATGTTGATCTTGATCTTGGTTTTTAGCAGTAGTGTATGTCTCGTACACCACCTACCTGTAATTCTATTGTGAGCTGATTTAGTGTTTCTTCCACAGGTAGCTCCTCTGTGGAGAGAAAGACAAGAGAAAGAGATGACTATGGCATAGCTCAAGTCTACTCAGTATTATACATTATTTTGAACAATGAAATAATTGACTTGATTGATTGCCACATAGACATAGCTAAATATTGAGGAAATGCTATTGTAACATGTTGTTGCCTCACCTATGTCCACCTGGTCCAGTTGTGGTATCTCCTTCATCAGAGTGGTGTAGTAGGAGCGTACGCCTCGGTGTACCACCAGTAGGAGGCGACAGAGTCTACGATGCCACGTGTGAGCTCGCTGAAGACAGTTCTCACTAGGGACGTAGAAACTACCCTGGGGAGAGACAGGAGGGAAGGGAGAGGAAGGAAGAAGATAGGAGAGGGGAGAGGGAAGAAGGAGAGGAAGAGTAGAGAGAGGATAGACACATGGAAGAGGGGAGAGACACGGGAAAGGGGAGACGGGAGAGACGGGAGAGAGGAGAGAGAGAGGGGAGAGACAGGGGAGAGAGGAGAGAGAGAGGGGAGAGACAGGGGAGAGAGGAGAGAGAGAGAGGAGAGACAGGCGAGAGAGGAGTGAGAGAGGGGAGAGAAGGGAGAGAGGAGAGAGAGAGGGGAGAGGGAGAGAGAGAGGGAGAGAGGAGAGGGAGAGACAGGGGAGAGAGGGAGAGAGGAGAGAGAGGGGAGAGACAGGGGAGAGACAGGGGAGAGAGGAGAGAGAGAGGGGAGAGACAGGGGAGAGAGGAGAGACAGAGGGGAGAGACAGGGGAGAGGAGAGAGAGAGGGGAGAGACAGGGGAGAGGAGAGAGAGAGGGGAGAGACAGGGGAAGAGACAAGGAAGAAGAGAGACAGGGAAGAGAAGAAAACGTTGGTTACTCCATCTAGATCAAAAGATAACGAGCTGCTTTAATGACGGCCAAGTTCACATACTGAGACTTTACGGCCTACGCAGTAGGAACCAATGAACTCCCTTGTAATTGACCTTGGTCTGGAACAGGACCTTGTTTAGGACCTTGTTTAGTGAGTTAACACCAATGTGTAAAGTCTTAGTAACTACCGGAGAATAAAATAATATTTTGGACACAAGCAGCTCCTAAACATAGCTTGTTACCCGGTAGTAAAACACATGGATGTGGACGTGGAACTGGAAGATGTAGAAGACATGACCCTACAGGTGTTGTATGACCTTTAACATGTCCTGTGGACAGGAACTAACTAACCCCACACTACCCAGTAACCACAAACTGCCCAGACATCAGTAACGATCACTGGTGATGTTTCATACAATATTTCTAAGACTGGGAAGGTAATGGATCAAAAGCTTAGCCAATCTGTCCCCCAATGATGTTACTGTAGTTGGCCATACCGGGGGTATCGTCGGACGGGGCCACAGTGTCTCCCAACCCCCCCCCCCCCCCTGTCTCAGCCTCCAGTATCTATGCTGCAATAGTCTATGTGCCGGGGGGCTAGGGTCAGTCTGTTATATCTGGTGTTATTCTCCTGTCTTAGCCGGTGTCCTGTGTGAATTTAAGTATGCTCCCTCTAATTCTCTCTCTCTCCCTCTCTCCCTCCCATCCCGGAGGACCTGAGCCCTAGGACCATGCCTCAGGACTACCTGACCTGATGACTCCTTGCTGTCCCCAGTCCACCTGGTCGTGCTGCTGCTCCAGTTTCAACTCTTCTGCCTGCGGCTATGGAACACTGACCTGTTCACAAGACTTGCTACCTTGTCCCAGACCTGCTGTTTTCAACTCTCTTGCTCTACCACACCTGCTATTTCAACCTCTAAATGCCCGGCTATGAAAAGCCAAGTGACATTTACTCCTGATGTACTGACCTGTTGCAACCTCTACAACCACTGTGATTATTATTTGACCCTGCTGGTTATCTATGAAAGTTTGAACATCTTGGAGAAAAATCTGGTCTTAATGGCCATGTACTGTTATAATCTCCACCCGGCACAGCCAGAAGGGGACTGGCCACCCCTCAGAGCCTGGTTCCTCTCTAGGTTTCTTCCTTGGTTTCTGCCTTTCTAGGGAGTTTTTCCTAGCCACCGTGCTTCTACATCTGCATTGTTTGGGGTTTTAGGCTGGTTTTCTGTATAGCACTTTGTGACATCTGCTGATGTAAAAAGGGCTTTATAAATAAAATGTGATTGATTGATTGATTGAAAGTATTTATGAGTAGTAATTCTTATTTCTCCCCAGCAGGTGTCTCTCTAACCACAAACTCACAGTACTTTCACTGGACGATCACATTCATCTTATTCTCTGTACAGGCCTGTAACCTACAGTACCAGTTCTGGTCTCTTCTGCAACCAATGGGAGCTACAAAGCCCAGCTACTACATATCCAGGTAAAGAGTAAGATTGTGAAAGGAGTTATTCTAGTCAAGGACCCAAAAAACACAAGTCGGGTCAGACGCCGGCTGTCATCTTTTTAGAGACAAGGCAGGGCCAGGTCAGACTGGGAAAGTTCACCTCTGACCCCATCCCAGTCCCAACACACACAGGCCCCAGCCCTTTGGGACTCTCCTGGCCCCTGGCCCCTGTCACAGTTCCCTGGGTTGGGTCCATCTTCTTGTGACTGGCTGGCTATTCTGGCTGTTTTGGCAGTTTGTTTTAAATGCATGTAATGCTGGTATATGTGTGGATAATGCCTGTGTATGTGTGTTAGTTTTAAAGGCATGTAATTCTGGTGTATGTGAGTGTGTAGGCCTACTATAATTTACCTGGGGACAGTAAAGCGCAGGGCCCTATCATCATTGCTGTACTCTGCTCTGTAATAACAGATAATACTGCTGGATCCTCCACAACCAGGAAGGAACACCTGTATGTTTACTTTCATAATTCATTTTACCTTTATAGAGGCATGCTGGGATATGGGGGTTGGGACTTGAAGCAACTACAGAGGCAAAGAAAAATAGCTATTTCTTTCACTATGAACGCAGTTATTATCTCCCTCCCCCACTAAGAAAAAACGTTTTTTCTTAACTGACAATGGATGAGATGTGTTCTGTTCAACCTCTACCCAACTTGTAGTCTGAGTCTCTACACACTTCACTCCGTCGATCGACGTCTGAGCGTGTGCATGGGCGGAGTCAGATTTCTTGGAGCAGCGCGCACTTCACTCCACGTCGTCGTTGCGTTCCACCCAGAGAGGAAGTCTATCCACTAGGGGACTTGGGGTGCCAGAGTAGCTTACCAAGCAAGAGGGTCCGAGGCACTCTTTGTGTAAATACAGTACATTTCTTCTTCTTTGGATACTGTATTACAGTCTTCTTACGTCCCATTGTCAGCAGCAGCCTCATGCGAAGCTGACAGTCTGCTACAGGAACACAGGGCTGAGTACCCAGGTGACATACCGGATCTGATGGCTGCTGCAGTGCACCGTGGGATACATAGTCACAGGGGGTCCATCTGCTCTGATAGAAATAGAACTAAGAATTACAGAACACTAAAATGAATGGGAATTCCTGATCTAGTAATTCTATTTCTATACATCACTTTACAAGCCAGCAGCTTGTCAGACAGACAGGCTGGTAAAAATAGCAGGACAGATCTCTCTCTCTCTGAAAGACTGCGTGCTTTCAGTATTATTTGAAGATATCCTGCCTATCCTCTTGCATTGCTACTTGACATTCTCAACCACCCCACGAGGGTCCAAGATGAGTATTTCACTCATAATAGGAGCTCTCAGAAAATGTATTTTTATCGCCACTGATATTTCTGAGATACACATTTTTATACCAGAGAGGAAATGTGAAAGGTCTAAATAGAGAAAGAAAGGCAACATCCATTTTCTGCTCACCACAAGAGAGGCAGCACCCCTATAATTCAGCTGATACCAATGGAATTTTCCAACGACACGTGTCCAGATTGTGCAATAACGGCACTCTTAATAATGAATACAAAAAGAAAAGAGCAGCTTGGTTAGTGTGGAAAAGCTACAGCAGTGAAAGAGCTGAAAATGTGGTTATACCCTCCAGGTAGAAAGCCTTAAATAAATAAGGTGTGGAAGAGAGGAGAGAGGGATGGCTCACACACACACACACGCGCACACACACACACACACACACATACACATACACACATACACACACACACACACATACACACATGCACACACACATACACACACACACACATACACACATACACACATACACACATGCACACACACATACACACACACACATGCACACACACATACACACACACACATTCATGCACACGCACATACACACGCACACACGCACCCGCACACATACACACACGCACGCACACACATACACACACACACAGACACACGCACACGCACACACACATACACACACACACGCACACACACATACACATACACTGTGCTCTGTACACATTTCACATGCAGGTACATGTAAGCTACATGCGGTTGGAAGAGAACTCATTACAGGGATCAAACACCGCCCTCCCGCCTGGCTAGATGCAGTGCTTATTAAAGCTCCCTGTTGGAGGCGCTGAGTAAAACCCAGGAACAGGGGGGCCGAGCCTGGTGTGTGTGTGTGTGTATGTAACCAAGGAACAAGGGGGCCAAACGGAGAGGAGGGGACGGGGGGACAAGCCCAGCTCTCATTAAGATTTACTGCTTAGTCTGTGACGTCTGTCCACAGGGCCGAAGGCTGGGTCGGGGTGTATGAGGCACATGTTTGTGTGACCAACAGGTTTTCCAATCACAGTAGCCTCCTACCATACAGGAAATGACCTACGCTGGATATGACACATCGTAATGATCTAATGAAAAATAGCTGCTCTGCTTGATGTACACAACCATATAGTTATCACCCACACACACCTCTCACACACCTCATACAAACACACACACACACCTCAAACACACACACACACACACACACACCTCCAGAAGAGAGACACATGAGTGGTGTCTGCGGTTGATGTATCCAGCTCTCACACCACTAAATTAGCCTTTACACCCGTAGAAAACATCACTAGCGTCCACTATTTGTCTTAGCCTTCTACTCCAGAGGCAGATGAGAACCCTTATTACACCATTATTACTGCAGAGAGTTACAGTAGTTTCTCCTACAGACACCAGGCTACAGTAGCTCAGCGTGTCTCAGTGTCCTGCCAGCCTCTGCTTGCATCCCAAATGGCACCCTATTCCCTACAAAATGCACTACTTTTGACCACTGTCTTGGGCACTGGTCAAAAGTAGAGCATTATATAGGGAAGAAGGTGCTATTTGGGACGCAGCCTCAGTGTCCTGCGAGGCTGGTCTGGCCATGTAGGTTAGTGAGACAATAATAGGAAGTAGTGTGGTGTAGCACAGTACTCACAGTACTCATCATGTGGGCCCATGTGGGGAACTAAAACTGGCTCTAATACTTCCAGAGGGACCTGACTGATGACCTGTTTTGTAATGACGTGCAAATAGTTAAAACTCTCTCTCTCTCCCTCCACTATCGTAAGGCCATCAGTCAGGTCCCTCTGGAAGTATTAGAGCCAGTTTTAGTTCCCCACATGGGCCCACATGATGAGTACTGTGAGCTACTGTAGCCTGGTGTCTGTAGGAGAAACTACTGGAACTCTCTTATGTTTATTTATTTTCCCTTTTGTACTTTAACTATTTGCACATCATTACAACACTGTATATAGACATAATATGACACTTAAAATGTCTTTATTCTTTTGGAACTTTTGTGAGTGTAATGTTCACTGTTAATTTTTTATTGTTTATTTCACTTTTGTTTATTATCTATTTCACTTGCTTTGGCAATGTAAACCTGGCCACACTCTATATAGGCCCCCCCATATCAGACATATGCCCCTTCTGCCCACCCCATGCCCCCTGCCCCTGCGGCAAGGACCTCAACATGACAGCAGGACATATGCCCAGGCCGTGAGCAGAGCAACAGGCCGAACCCCCACTATTACACCCGCCCAAGCACCATCATGCGACCTAAGAGGTATGTATCAGATGCTCAACATGCTCTGCTCACACCTACTGCGATGGTCCGGGCCTAAACCACACAAAAACAACACAAGACACTATGGAACACAAAACCAAAGGCAGAGGTCATCTGCCTTTGGCCTAAAGAGCAGGAACCCAGACTTCTTCAAAGAAATTAGAAATACAGACATTGTCATCCTACAACAAACATGGTATAAGGGAGACGGACCCACTGGTTGCCCTCTAGGTTACAGACAGCTGGTAGTCCAATCCACCAAACTACCAGGTGTGAAACAGGGAAGAGACTCAGGGGGTATACTAATTTGGTATAGAGCAGACCTAACCCACTCTATGAAATTAATAAGGAAATTATCTCAACAGAGAAAAATGTCCTCATGTGTGCTACCTATATCCCCCCAATAGAATCCCCATACTTTAACAATGACATATTCTCCATCCTTGAGGGGAGATCAACCATTTCCAGGCCTAGGGACATGTACTAGTCTGTGGCGACCTAAATGCCAGAACAGGACAAGAACCTGACACCCTCAGCACACATGGGGACAAACACCTAACTAGATTATCAGACACTCAAGAAGAAGGTCTGATTTCATTATTACTGAAACAGGATACAAGTGGAAAATATAAAGATCCAGTCCATTTAAAAAAATTGGAGGCCCCTTACACTTCAGTGTTGTGATGCAAAAATTATAGCAAAATGTATAGCGATTAGAATTAAAAAGGTATTGTCAGACATTACTCATTCTAATCAGACAGGTTTTTTACATGGACAATACATTGGAGATAATATAAGGCAAGTAGTGGAAACAATAGAACACTATGAAAAATCTGGGAAACCAGGCCTACTATTCTTAGCAGACTTCGAAAAGGCATTTGATAAAGTACGACTGGGGTTTATATATAAATGCCTGGAGCATTTCAATTTTGGACAATCTCTTATAAATTGGGTTAAAATCATGTATAGTAACCCTAGGTGTAAAATAGTAAATAATGGCTATTTCTCAGAAAGTTCTAAACTGTCAAGAGGAGTAAAACAAGGTTGTCCACTATCGGCATATCTATTTATTATGGCCATCGAGATGTTAGCTATTAAAATCAGATCCAACAATAATATCAAGGGATTCTAAATCCAGGGCTTAAAAACAAAGGTGTCATTGTACGCTGATGATTCATGTTTTCTTTTAAATCCACAACTTGAATCCCTCCACAGCCTCATAGAGGATCTAGATACATTTTCTAACCTCTCTGGATTACAACCAAATTATGATAAATGTACTATATTACATATTGGATCACTAAAAAATATAAATGTTACATTACCATGTAGTTTACCAATAAAATGGTCTGATGGTGATGTGGATATACTCGGAATACATATCCCAAATGAAATAAATGATCTCAGTCCAATACATTTTAATAGAAAGTTAGCAAAAATAGATAAGATCTTGCTACCATGGAAAGGTAAATACCTGTCAATATGTGGAAAAATCACCCTGATTAACTCTTTAGTAGTATCCCAGTTTACCTATTTGCTTATGGTCTTGCCTATGTCTAGCGAACAGTTTCTTAAATTATATGAGAAAAAGAAATTCCATTTTATTTGGAACGGCAAGCCAGACAAAATTAAACGGGCCTATTTATATAATGAATATGAATTCGGAGGACAGAAATTAATAAATATTAAAGCATTAGACCTATCACTAAAATATTCAGTCATACAAAAGTTATACTTAAATCCGAACTGGTTGTCTAGCAAATTAGTAAGATTGTCTCACCCAATGTTCAAGAATAGCCTTTTTCCCTTTATTCAGATTACAACCTCTCACTTTAAGTTATTTGAAAAGGAAATAATCTCACAAATATCACTATTTCTAAAACAAGCCATAGAAAGTTGGTTGCAATTTCAATTTAATCCTCCAGAAACGACAGAACAAATAATGCAACAAATGTTGTGTTTAAACTCAAATATACTAATTGATACAAATGTTTAAAAAATGTATAATCGTAAATGATATTATCGGTAGGACTGGTGGAGTTATGTCGCACATGCAGCTAACAAAAACATATGGAAATGTCTGCTCTAACCAAAATTACAACCAAATAATTGCAGCATTACCGCAAAAATGGAAAAGGAAAGTGGAAGGGGGAAAAAGTAAGGAACTTGTCTGTCGGCCTTGCATTAAATAATATAATTGGTTAAATTGTGATGAATAAAAAAGTATACCAGTTTCATTTAAGGACCAAAGGATTGACAGCCGTCCCATATAGATTGCAAAATAGTTGGGAAGAGATTTCTGACGTACCGATTCCATGGCATAGTGTTTATGAATTGATACGCAAAACGACGCCGGATTCAAAACGTAGAATTTTTCAATTTAAATTATTATATAAAATTCTTGCTACCAATATAATGTTATTTATATGGGGGATACAATCTTCCCAGCTATGCAGATTTTCCTGCAAAGAGACAGAATCATTAGATCATTTGTTTTGGTACTGTCCATTTGTAGCTTGTTTTTGGACACAGGTCCAGGAATGGCTAAAGGATTGAAATATTTACCTGAAGCTAACCCTGCAGATAGCACTACTGGGTGATCTGAAAAGTCATTGTCAATCGATCAATAATATAATAATACTTTTAGCAAAAATGATTATTTTCAAATTACGATCTGTAGAAACAATGAGAATAGAAAGGTTCAGAACTTTTGTAAAACATCACAGTACAGTTGAAAAATATATGGCAAATAGAAATCCAATATGGATGGTGTTAAGAGATAGATGGGAGGTGTTGAATGGAGCTGCAGGATGGGACTAATAACAACAACTAATAACAACAAGATAACTACTGTAAAGCATACTGTGTCCATAATAAGCATATAGGTTATAGGTTGAGAGCTTTTGTGATAGAGCACAGTTAGAAAAATATGGAATATAGAAGCAAACCAGATGGACAATGATCAGAGGAAGTTCAGGAATAAAAACAAACAAAATATAATTATTGTAGAATTTGACTGTGTCCATAAAATGTATATAGTATGTATGGGCTGGAAGTAGAGCCCTAAGCGTTGTTGTTCACTAGTTTACTCCTATTGGGGAAGGGGTGGTTAGGTTGGAAACTAATGAAGGGAAATATAATTTTTTAAAGGATATGTGTGTGTGTATGTATGTACAGTGGGGGAAAAAAAGTATTTAGTCAGCCACCAATTGTGCAAGTTCTCCCACTTAAAAAGATGAGAGAGGCCTGTAATTTTCATCATAGGTACACGTCAACTATGACAGACAAAATGAGGAAATAAAATCCAGAAAATCACATTGTAGGATTTTTTATGAATTTATTTGCAAATTATGGTGGAAAACAAGTATTTGGTCACCTACAAACAAGCAAGATTTCTGGCTCTCACAGACCTGTAACTTCTTTTTTAAGAGGCTCCTCTGTCCTCCACTCGTTACCTGTATTAATGGCACCTGTTTGAACTTGTTATCAGTATAAAAGACACCTGTCCACAACCTCAAACAGTCATACTCCAAATTCCACTATTGCCAAGACCAAAGAGCTGTCAAAGGACACCAGAAACTAAATTGTAGACCTGCACCAGGCTGGGAAGACTGAATCTGAAATAGGTAAGCAACTTGGTTTGAAGAAATCAACTGTGGGAGCAATTATTAGGAAATGGAAGACATACAAGACCACTGATAATCTCCCTCGATCTGGGGCTCCATGCAAGATCTCACCCCGTGGGGTCAAAATGATCACAAGAACGGTGAGCAAAAATCCCAGAACCACACGGGGGGACCTAGTGAATGACCTGCAGAGAGCTGGGACCAAAGTAACAAAGCCTACCATCAGTAACACACTACGCCGCCAGGGACTCAAATCCTGCAGTGCCAGACGTGTCCCCCTGCTTAAGCCAGTACATGTCCAGGCCCGTCTGAAGTTTGCTAGAGTGCATTTGGATGATCCAGAAGAGGATTGGGAGAATGTCATATGGTCAGATGAAACCAAAATAGAACTTTTTGGTAAAAACTCAACTCGTCGTGTTTGGAGGACAAAGAATGATGAGTTGCATCCAAAGAACACCATACCTACTGTGAAGCATGGGGGTGGAAACATCATGCTTTGGGGCTGTTTTTCTGCAAAGGGACCAGGACGACTGATCCGTGTAAAGGAAAGAATGAATGGGGCCATGTATCGTGAGATTTTGAGTGAAAACCTCCTTCCATCAGCAAGGGCATTGAAGATGAAACGTGGCTGGGTCTTTCAGCATGACAATGATCCCAAACACACCGCCTGGGCAACGAAGGAGTGGCTTCGTAAGAAGCATTTCAAGGTCCTGGAGTGGCCTAGCCAGTCTCCAGATCTCAACCCCATAGAAAATCTTTGGAGGGAGTTGAAAGTCCGTGTTGCCCAGCGACAGCCCCAAAACATCACTGCTCTAGAGGAGATCTGCATGGAGGAATGGGCCAAAATACCAGCAACAGTGTGTGAAAACCTTGTGAAGACTTACAGAAAACGTTGACCTGTGTCATTGCCAACAAAGGGTATATAACAAAGTATTGAGAAACTTTTGTTATTGACCAAATACTTATTTTCCACCATAATTTGCAAATAAATTCATTAAAAATCCTACAATGTGATCTTCTGGATTTTATTTCCTCAATTTGTCTGTCATAGTTGACGTGTACCTATGATGAAAATTACAGGCCTCTCTCATCTTTTTAAGTGGCAGAACTTGCACAATTGGTGGCTGACTAAATACTTTTTTCCCCCACTGTATATGTGTGTGTATGTGTGTGTAGGTATGTGTATATGTACAGTGGGGAAAAAAAGTATTTAGTCAGCCACCAATTCTGCAAGTTCTCCCACTTAAAAAGATGAGAGAGGCCTGTAATTTTCATCATAGGTACACGTCAACTATGACAGACAAAATGAGGGAAAAAAATCCAGAAAATCACATTGTAGGATTTTTTATGAATTTATTTGCAAATTATGGTGGAAAATAAGTATTTGGTCAATAACAAAAGTTTCTCAATACTTTGTTATATACCCTTTGTTGGCAATGACACAGGTCAAACGTTTTCTGTAAGTCTTCACAAGGTTTTCACACACTGTTGCTGGTAGTTGTGGGTTCGATCCCCGGGACCACCCATACACAAAAAAAATGTATGCACGCATGACTGTAAGTCGCTTTGGATAAAAGCGTCTGCTAAATGGCATATTATTATATTATTATTATTATTATTATGGCCCATTCCTCCATGCAGATTTCCTCTAGAGCAGTGATGTTTTGGGGCTGTCGCTGGGCAACACGGACTTTCAACTCCCTCCAATGATTTTCTATGGGGTTGAGATCTGGAGACTGGCTAGGCCACTCCAGGACCTTGAAATGCTTCTTACGAAGCCACTCCTTCGTTGCCCGGGCGGTGTGTTTGGGATCATTGTCATGCTGAAAGACCCAGCCACATTTCATCTTCAATGACCTTGCTGATGGAAGGAGGTTTTCACTCAAAATCTCACGATACATGGCCCCATTCATTCTTTCCTTTACACGGATCAGTCGTCCTGGTCCCTTTGCAGAAAAACAGTCCCAAAGCATGATGTTTCCACCCCCATGCTTCACAGTAGGTATGGTGTTCTTTGGATGCAACTCAGCATTCTTTGCCCTCCAAACACGACGAGTTGGGTTTTTACCAAAAAGTTATATTTTGGTTTCATCTGACCATATGACATTCTCCCAATCCTCTTTTGGATCATCCAAATGCACTCTAGCAAACTTCAGACGGGCCTGGACATGTACTGGCTTAAGCAGGGGAACACGTCTGGCACTGCATGATTTGAGTCCCTGGCGGCGTAGTGTGTTACTGATGGTAGGCTTTGTTACTTTGGTCCCAGCTCTCTGCAGGTCATTCACTAGGTCCCCCCGTGTGGTTCTGGGATTTTTGCTCACCGTTCTTGTGATCATTTTGACCCCACGGGGTGAGATCTTGCGTGGAGCCCCAGATCGAGGGAGATTATCAGTGGTCTTGTATGTCTTCCATTTCCTAATAATTGCTCCCACAGTTTATTTCTTCAAACCAAGCTGCTTACCTATTGCAGATTCAGTCTTCCCAGCCTGGTGCAGGTCTACAATTTAGTTGCTGGTGTCCTTTGACAGCTCTTTCGTCTTGGCCATAGTGGAGTTTGGAGTGTGACTGTTTGAGGTTGTGGACAGGTGTCTTTTATACTGATAACAAGTTCAAACAGGTGCCATTAATACAGGTAACGATTGGAGGACAGAGGAGCCTCTTAAAAAAGAAGTTACAGGTCTGTGAGAGCCAGAAATCTTGCTTGTTTGTAGGTGACCAAATACTTATTTTCCACCATAATTTCAAATAAATTCATAAAAAATCCTACAATGTGATTTTCTGGATTTTTTTCTCTCAATTTGTCTGTCATAGTTGACGTGTACCTATGATGAAAATTACAGGCCTCTCTCATCTTTTTAAGTGGGAGAACTTGCACAATTGGTGGCTGACTAAATACTTTTTTTCCCCACTGTATATGTATATATGTATATATACAGTGAGGGAAAAATAAAACAATTGGTAACACACTACGCCGTGAAGGACTGAAATCTTGCAGCGCCCGCAAGGTCCCCTGCTCAAGAAAGCACATTACATGCCCGTCTGAAGTTTGCCAATGAACATCTGAATGATTCAGAGGAGAACTGGGTGAAAGTGTTGTGGTCAGATGAGACCAAAATGGAGCTCTTTGGCATCAACTCAACTCGCCGTGTTTGGAGGAGGAGGAATGCGGCCTATGACCCCAAGAACACCATCCCCACCGTCAAACATGGAGGTGGAAACATTATGCTTTGGGAGTGTTTTTCTGCTAAGGAGACAGGACAACTTCATCGCATCAAAGGGACGATGGACGGGGCCATGTACCATCAAATCTTGGGTGAGAACCTCCTTCCCTCAGCCAGGGCATTGAAAATGGGTCGTGGATGGGTATTCCAGCATGACAATGACCCAAAACACACGGCCAAGGCAACAAAGGAGTGGCTCAAGAAGAAGCACATTAAGGTCCTGGAGTGGCCTAGCCAGTCTCCAGACCTTAATCCCATAGAAAATCTGTGGAGGGAGCTGAAGGTTCGAGTTGCCAAACATAAGCCTCAAAACCTTAATGACTTGGAGAAGATCTGCAAAGAGGAGTGGGACAAAATCCCTCCTGTGATGTGTGCAAACCTGGTGGCCAACTACAAGAAACGTCTGACCTCTGTGATTGACAACAAGTGTTTTGCCACCAAGTATTAAGTCATGTTTTGCAGAGGGGTCAAATACTTATTTCCCACATTAAATGGCAAATCAATTTATAACATTTTTGACATGCGTTTTTCTGGATTTTTTTGTTGTTATTCTGTCTCTCACTGTTCAAATAAACCTACCATTAAAATTATAGACTGATCATTTCTTTGTCAGTGGGCAAACGTACAAAATCAGCAGGGGATCAAATACTTTTTTCCCTCACTGTATATACAGTGGGGAGAACAAGTATTTGATACACTGCCGATTTTGCAGGTTTTCCTACTTACAAAGCATGTAGAGGTATGTAATTTTTATCATAGGTACACTTCAACTGTGAGAGACAGAATCTAAAACAAAAATCCAGAAAATCACATTGTATGATTTTTAAGTAATTAATTTGCATTTTATTGCATGACATAAGTATTTGACACATCAGAAAAGCAGAACTTAATATTTGGTACAGAAACCTTTGTTTGCAATTACAGAGATAATACTTTTCCTGTAGGTCTTGACCAGGTTTGCACACACTGCAGCAGGGATTTTGGCCCACTCCTCCATACAGACCTTCTCCAGATCCTTCAGGTTTCGGGGCTGTCGCTGGGCAATACGGACTTTCAGCTCCCTCAAAGATGTTCTATTGGGTTCAGGTCTGGAGACTGGCTAGGCCACTCCAGGACCTTGAGATGCTTCTTACGGAGCCACTCCTTAGTTGCCCTGGCTGTGTGTTTCGGGTCGTTGTCATGCTGGAAGACCCAGCCACGACCCATCTTCAATGCTCTTACTGAGGGAAGGAGGTTATTGGCCAAGATCTTGCGATACATGGCCCCATCCATCCTCCCCTCAATACGGTGCAGTCATTCTTTCCCCTTTGCAGAAAAGCATCCCCAAAGAATGATGTTTCCACCTCCATGCTTCACGGTTGGGATGGTGTTCTTGGGGTTGTACTCATCCTTCTTCTTCCTCCAAACATGGCGAGTGGAGTTTAGACCAAAAAGCTCTATTTTTGTCTCATCAGACCACATGACCTTCTCCCATTCCTCCTCTGGATCATCCAGATGGTCATTGGCAAACTTCAGACGGGCCTGGACATGTGCTGCATTGAGCAGGGGGACCTTGCGTGCGCTGCAGGATTTTAATCCATGGCGGCGTAGTGTGTTACTATTGGTTTTCTTTGAGACTGTGGTCCCAGCTCTCTTCAGGTCATTGACCAGGTCCTGCCGTGTAGTTCTGGGCTTATCCCTCACCTTCCTCATGATCATTGATGCCCCACGAGGTGAGATCTTGCATGGAGCCCCAGACCGAGGGTGATTGACCGTCATCTTGAACTTCTTCCATTTTCTAATATTTGCGCCAACAGTTGTTGCCTTCTCACCAAGCTGCTTGCCTATTGTCCTGTAGCCCATCCCAGCCTTGTGCAGGTCTATAATTTTATCCCTGATGTCCTTACCCAGCTCTCTGGTCTTGGCCATTGTGGAGAGGATGGAGTCTGTTTGATTGAGTGTGTGGACAGGTGTCTTTTATACAGGTAACGAGTTCAAACAGGTGCAGTTAATACAGGTAATGAGTGGAGAACAGGAGGGCTTCTTAAAGAAAAACTAACAGGTCTGTGAGAGCCGGAATTCTTACTGGTTGGTAGGTGATCAAATACTTACGTCATGCAATAAAATGCAAATTAATTACTTAAAAGTCATACAATGTGATATTCTGGATTTTTGTTTTAGATTCCGTCTCTCACAGTTGAAGTGTACCTCTGATAAAAAATTACAGACCTCTACAGGCTTTGTAAGTAGGAAAACCTGCAAAATCGGCAGTGTATCAAATACTTGTTCTCCCCACTGTATGTATACAGTGGGGGAAAAAAGTATTCGGTCAGCTACCAATTGTGCAAGTTCTCCCACTTAAAAAGATGAGAGAGGCCTGTAATTTTCATCATAGGTACACGTCAACTATGACAGACAAATTGAGAGAAAAAAATCCAGAAAATCACATTGTAGGATTTTTTATGAATTTATTTGAAATTATGGTGGAAAATAAGTATTTGGTCACCTACAAACAAGCAAGATTTCTGGCTCTCACAGACCTGTAAATTCTTCTTTAAGAGGCTCCTCTGTCCTCCACTCGTTACCTGTATTAATGGCACCTGTTTGAACTTGTTATCAGTATAAAAGACACCTGTCCACAACCTCAAACAGTCACACTCCAAACTCCACTATGGCCAAGACCAAAGAGCTGTCAAAGGACACCAGAAACAAAATTGTAGACCTGCACCAGGCTGGGAAGACTGAATCTGCAATAGGTAAGCAGCTTGGTTTGAATAAATCAACTGTGGGAGCAATTATTAGGAAATGGAAGACATACAAGACCACTGATAATCTCCCTCGATCTAGGGCTCCACGCAAGATCTCACCCTGTGGGGTCAAAATGATCACAAGAACGGTGAGCAAAAATCCCAGAACCACACGGGGGTCCTAGTGAATGACCTGCAGAGAGCTGGGACCAAAGTAACAAAGCCTACCATCAGTAACACACTACGCCACCAGGGACTCAAATCCTGCAGTGCCAGACGTGTCCCCCTGCTTAAGCTAGTACATGTCCAGGCCCGTCTGAAGTTTGCTAGAGTGCATTTGGATGATCCAGAAGAGGATTGGGAGAATGTCATATGGTCAGATGAAACCAAAATAGAACTTTTTGGTAAAAACTCAACTCGTCGTGTTTGGAGGACAAAGAATGCTGAGTTGCATCCAAAGAACACCATACCTACTGTGAAGCATGGGGGTGGAAACATCATGCTTTGGGGCTGTTTTTCTGCAAAGGGACCAGGACGACTGATCCGTGTAAAGGAAAGAATGAATGGGGCCATGTATCGTGAGATTTTGAATGAAAACCTCCTTCCATCAGCAAGGGCATTGAAGATGAAACGTGGCTGGGTCTTTCAGCATGACAATGATCCCAAACACACCGCCCGGGCAACGAAGGAGTGGCTTCGTAAGAAGCATTTCAAGGTCCTGGAGTGGCCTAGCCAGTCTCCAGATCTCAACCCCATAGAAAATCTTTGGAGGGAGTTGAAAGTCTGTGTTGCCCAGCGATAGCCCCAAAACATCACTGCTCTAGAGGAGATCTGCATGGAGGAATGGGCCAAAATACCAGCAACAGTGTCTGAAAACCTTGTGAAGACTTACAGAAAACGTTTGACCTGTGTCATTGCCAACAAAGGGTATTTAACAAAGTATTGAGAAACTTTTGTTATTTTCCACCATCATTTGCAAATAAATTCATTAAAAATCCTACAATGTGATTTTCTGGATTTTCTTTCCTCATTTTGTCTGTCATAGTTGACGTGTACCTATGATGAAATTTACAGGCCTCTATCATCTTTTTAAGTTGGAGAACTTGCACAATTGGTGGCTGACTAAATACTTTTTTTCCCCACTGTATATATATATATATATTTGCGAGAAAAAAAACATATGTGGGATTGGAAGTTATGCAGACAATTACATTGATGGAAGTTACATTCTATCTGAAATATTAAAGCTGATCTACCCCCTAAAAAAAATAAAAATAAAAAAATAAAAATACACCTAGCTGGAGTTGACGGCATTCCCTCCCCCATATGCCCCCCTAGACACAACTACGACAACATAACCAACAAAAACGGGTCCCAACCCATGCTGCTCTTTCGGACGCTGGGCATGTACATAGTCAATGGTAGGCTTCGAGGGGATTCCTACGGTAGGTACACATATAGCTCAAGTCTTGGCAGTAGTACTGTAGACAACTTTATCACTGACCTCAACCCAGAGTGTCTTAAAGAGTTCACAGTCAGTCCACTGACACCCCTATCAGATCACAGCAAAATCACACTCTACTTGAACAGAGCTATGCTCAATCATGAGGCATCAAAGCCAAAGGAACTGAATAATATAAAGAAATGCTATAGATGGAAGGAAAGTAGTGTTGAAATCTACCAAAAAAACTATTAGGCGACAACAAACTTCTAGACAATTTCCTGGACAAAACGTTTCACTGTACTAGTGAAGGTGTAAACTTGGCAGTAGAAAATCCAAACAATATATTTGACCTCTCAGCTTCCCTATCAAATCAAAAAATGTCAAACTGAAAACCGAAGAAAATTAACAACAATGACAAATGGTTTGATGAAGAATGCAAAAACCTAAGAAAGAAATTGAGAAACCTATCCAACCAAAAACATAGAGACCCAGAAAACCTGAGCCTACGCCTTCACTATAGTGAATCACTAAAACAATACAGAAATACGCTCCCGAGCACATCAGATATCAGCTCAATGTAAATGAAGAATCCATAGACTCTAACCACTTATGGGAAAATTGGAAAACACTAAACAAACAAGAAGAGTTATCTATCCAAAACGGAGATGTATGGATGAACCACTTCTCCAATCTTTTTGGCCCTAAAACAAAGAACAAACAGCAAAAACATATACATGATCAAATACAAATCTTAGAATCAACTATTAAAGACTACCAGAACCCACTGGATTCTCCAATTACACTGAATGAACTACAGGACAAAATACAAACCCTTCAACCCAAAAAGGCCTGTGGTGTTCATGGTATCCTCAATGAAATGATAAAATATACAGACCACAAATTCCAATTGGCTATACTTAAACTCTTCAACATCATCCTTAGCTCTGGCATCTTACCCAATATTTGGAACCAAGGACTGATCATCCCAATCTACAAAAGTGGAGACAAATTTGACTCCAACAGCAACCTTGGGGAAATCCTCTGCATTATCATTAACAGCATACTCGTACATTTTCTCAGTGAAAACAATGTACTGAGCTAATGTCAAATTGGCTTTTTACCAAATTACCGTACGACAGACCATGTGTTCACCCTGCACACCCTAATTGACAAACAAACAAACCAAAACAAAGGCAAAGTCTTCTCATGCTTTGTTGATTTCAAAAAAGCTTTTAAGTGAATTTGGCATGATACAAATTCATGGAAAGTGGTGTTGGGAGAAAAACATATGACATTATAAAATCCATGTACACAAACAACAAGTGTGCTGTAAAAATGGGTAAAAAACACACACATTTCTTTCCACAGGGCCGTGGGGTGAGACAGGGATGCAGCTTAAGCCCCACCCTCTTCAACATATATATCAACGAATTGGTGAGGGCACTAAAACAGTCTACAGCACCCGGCCTCACCCTACTAGAATCTGAAGACAAATGTCTACTGTTTGCTGATGATCTGGTGCTTCTGTCCCCAACAGCAGGTATATCTCACTGGTCATCCCCAAAGCCAACACCTCCTTTGGCCGCCATTCCTTCCAGTTCTCTGCTGCCAATGACTGGAACGAATTGCAAAAATCTCTGAAGCTGGAGACTCTTATCTCCCTCACTAACTTTAAGCATCAGTTGTCAGAGCACCTTACCGATCACTGCACCTGTACACAGCCCATCTGAAATTAGCCCACCCAACTTCCTCATCCCCATATTGTTATTTATTTTGCTCATTTGCACCCCAGTATCTCTATTTGCACATCATCTCTTGCACATCTATCATTCCAGTGTTAATACTAATTGTAATTATTTTGTACTATGGCCTATTTATTGCCTTACCTCCATAACTTGCTACATTTGAACACACTGTATATATATTTTCTGTTGTATTTTTGACTTTATGTTTCGTTTTACCCCATATGTAACTCTGTGTTGTTGTTTTTTATCGCACTGCTTTGCTTTATCTTGGCCAGGTCGCAGTTGTAAATGAGAACTTGTTCTCAACTGGCTTACCTGGTTAAATAAAGGTGAAATAAAAAATAAAAATAAAAAAACCAAGGAGGGCCTACAGCAGCACCTAGATCTTCTGCACAGATTCTGTCAGACCTGGGCCCTGAGAGTAAATCTCAGTAAGACAAAAATAATGGTGTTCCAAAAAAGGTCCAGTTGCCAGGACCACAAATACAAATTCCATCTAGACACTGTTGCCCTAGAGCACACAAACAACTATACATACCTCGGCCTAAACATCAGCGCCACAGGTAACTTCCACAAAGCTGTGAATGATCTGAGAGACATGGCAAGAAGGGCCTTCTATGCCATCAAAAGGAACATAAAATTCGACATACCAATTAGGATCTGGCTAAAAATACTTGAATCAGTTATAGAACCCATTGCCCTTTATGGTTGTGAGGTCTGGGATCCGCTCACCAACCAATAATTCACAAAATGGGACAAACACCAAATTGAGACTCTGCATGCAGAATTCTGCAAGAATATCCTCAGTGTACAACGTAAAACACCAAATAATGCATGCAGAGCAGAATTAGGCTGATACCCGCTAATTATCAAAATCCAGAAAAGAGCCGTTAAATTCTACAACCACCTAAAAGGAAGCGATTCCCTAATCTTCCATAACAAAGCCATCACCTACAGAGAGATTAACCTGGAGAAGAGTCCCCTAAGCAAGCTGGTCCTGGGGCTCTGTTCACAAACACAAACAGACCACACAGAGCCCCAGGACAGCAACACAATTAGACCCAACCAAATCATGAGAAAACAAAAAGATAATTACTTAACACATTGGAAAGAATTTACAAAGAAACAGAGCAAACTAGAATGCTATTTGGCCCTAAACAGAGAGTACACAGTGGCAGAATACCTGACCACTGTGACTGACCCAGAATTAAGGAAATCTTTGACTATGTACAGACTCAGTGAGCATAGCCTTGCTATTGAGAAAGGCCGCCGTAGGCAGACCTGGCTCTCAAGAGAAGACAGGCTATGTGCATACTGCCCACAAAATGAGGTGAAAACTGAGCTGCACTTCCCAAATGTATGACCATATTAGAGACACATACTTCCCTCAGATTACACAGAACCACAAAGAATTCGAAAACAAATCCATTTTGGATAAACTCCCATATCTATTGGGTGAAATACCACAGTGTGCAATCACAGCAGCAATATTTGTGACCTGTTGCCACAAGAAAAGGGCAACCAGTGAAGTACAAACACCATTGTAAATACAACCTATATCTTTTTGAATGGTTTATTTATTTTCCTTTTTGTACTTTAACTATTTGCACATCATTATAACACTGTATATATACATAATATGACATTTGAAATGTCTTTATTATTTTTGAACTTTTGTGAGTGTAATGTTTACTGTTTATTTCACTTTTGTTTATTATCTATTTCACTTGCTTTGGCAATGTAAACAAATGTTGCCCATGCCAATAAAGCCCCATAAATTGAAATTGAGAGAGAGAGAGAGAGAGAGAGAGAGAGAGAGAGAGAGAGAGAAGAGGAGAGAAGATAAAGAAAGAGAGAGAGAAAGAAGAGAAGAGGGACTGATAGCAAGAGAGCGAGAGAGAGAAAGATAGAAAAGATACAGATAAATGAATATACAAGAGATAAATAGAGAAAGAGAGATAACGAGAGATAAGATAGACAGAGTAATGAGATGGATATAGATACATAATAGCTAGATAGCTAATACAGATATAGCCTCTCTCTCTCTTTCTCGCTCTCTTCTCTCTCTCTCTCTCTCTCTCTCTCTCTTCTCTCTCTTCTGCTCTCTCTCTCTCTCTCTCTCCTCTCTCTCCCTCCCTCTCTTCTCCTCATCCTCTCTGCTCTCTTTCTCTTCTGCTCTCTCTCCTTCTCTCGACTAGACGGGCTAAATGTCAGGCATTCCGAACCACCCAGACTTCCTTAAAGAACTTTGATGATTTGATTATTGTAGTAACTAGCAGGAAACATGGTGCAGAGGTGATGTTCCACAATGAAAGTGGTATGGCAGGGAAAACATATGATGTTATTAAATCAATGTGCACTAAAACCAAATGTGCGATTAAAAATCGGCAACAAGACAAACAGGACCTTCTTCTCCTCAGGGACGTGGAGTGAAACAGGGCTGCCCAATAAGTCCAACACTATTTAACATCTACATTAACGAATTGGCAAAAACATTAGAAGAAATCGGCAGCACCTGGTCTCACCCTACACAACACTGAAATCAAGGGTCTGCTGTACGCAGATGACCTGGTGCTACTGTCTCCCACTAAGGAGGGGTTACAGCAGCATCTAGATCATCTGCACAAATTCTGTCAGACCTGGGCCCTGACCGTTAATCTAAAAAAAACGAATATAATGATATTCCAAAAAAGGCCCGGAAATCAGGATGACAAATATAAATTCTATTTGGACACAGTTCTATTAGAACACACCAAAAATTACACATATCTAGGACTAAATATCAGCAACACAGGTAGCTTTCACATGGCTGTGAATGAGCTGAGAGACAAAGCAAGAAGAGCATTCTATGCCATTAAAAGAAATATTAAAATCGAAATTCCAATTAGAATCTGGCTCAAAATGTTCCAATCAGTTATAGAACCAATTGCTCTATATGGCAGCGAAGTATGGGGTCCGCTCTCTAATACTGAATTTACCAAATGGGACAAACATCCAATCGAAATACTGCATGCAGAGTTTTGCAAGACTGTATTGCAAGTGCAAAGAAAAACTCAAAATAACGCATGTAGAGCAGAATTGGGCCAATACCCCCTCCTTATTCGAATAGAAAAAAAGAGCCATCAAATTTTACAACCATCTAAAAACAAGTGACCCCAAAACATTCCATCACACAGCTCTACTATGTCAAGAGATGAAACAAGAGAAGAGTCCCCTCAGCCAGCTGGTTCTGAGGCTCAGTTCACTAACCAAAACCAACCTCATAGAGCCTCAGGACAGCACTCAGAAAATCTGGCCCAACCAAATCATCACAAAGCAAAAAGAAAAATATATCACCTATTGGAAAGACACCACAAAAAATCTAAAGTAAACTTCAATGCTAGTTGGCTATAAACAGACAGTACATGGTGGCAGACTATCTGACCACTGTGACTGATAGAAAACTGAGAAAAACACTGACTAGGTACATACTCAGTGAGCACAGTCTGGCTATAGAGACCGGTCGTCACAGGCAAACCTGGCTGCCCAGAGAGGACAGGCTGTGCTCACTCTGCCCCCGGGGAGAGGTAGAGACAGAGCTGCATTTCCTATTACACTGTGACAAATACTCAGACCTAAGAGAATCTTTCTTTCCCAAAATTATCATTCAGTACAAAGAATTTGAAACTATAAAAGAGGAAGAAAAAATCTAATATTTATTGGGTGAAAAGCCAAAATGTGCAATTTTGCAGCCAAATATGTGTCCTCCTGCCACAACCTGAGGGACAGCCAGTGAAAAGTGTAATATAATGTCAATAATATTTCCTGTTTTGTTTTGGCTTTCATAGCATGTAATGTGTCTTCTCAGTCATGTTGAGATTGGTCGACTACTATTGCTTTAATGTATTGTTATTCTCATTATATTTTGTTGTATTTTGCTGTTAATGGTAATTTCATTTCCCTTTCCAACTACTACTATTATTATTGCTGCTGTTGTTCCCTCCCACCACATACCATTTTTTTTATATTTCTAAAATACTTTTGACAATGTAAGTAATTTTACTTTTACTTGCCATGTCAATAAATTCCTATTGAATTTGATGAATTGAATTGAATTGATAGAGAGAGAGAAGAGAGAGAGAGAGAGAGAGAGAGAGAGAGAGGAGAGAGAGAGAGTAAGTAGAGAGAGAGAGAGAGACGAGGAGATCGAGAGAGAGAGAGAGAGAGAGAGAGAGAGAGAGAGAGAGAGCTTTGATTAAGATGTTCTGTCTCCTGGTTCTGTCATTTTGTGTGTGAACTATGTGAGCCGCTTTCCCAGATTCAGATTGCCCTTTTAGAATCCTTTAATGTCAAGGACTAGGCTTGTTTGTGTTAATTAATTAATGTCCTCTGTAAGTGTATTGAGACAACCTTGTAATCATGCACTTACAATGTACTTGATTTTAACTGTACCTCTGTGAAGACAGGTTTGCAGTATCCAGCCCCGAACATCAGGTTCTCCATGGACACCCCCATGGCTGATGGGTCAGTACCGTTCTCTGGAGAGCCCTTCCCCAACCAGGAACCCTTCCCTGTACGGGCAAAACTATGGAGAGAGGGGGGGGGAGAGAGAGCAAGGGGGGGGACAGAAAGAGAGCGAGAGAGAAGAGCAGTTAGTCCTTATGTAATCAATAGAGTGCTCAGAGTAATGGTTAATCAGGGTAATAGTGTCTGAACATTCACGTTAAGATATTGGCAGCTGGATTTATCACCTAAGTGTTAGGAAAACTATTTATTCAAGTAGCAGGCCAGTGGATGCACTCTCAGAGCAGGTTGCCAAACTAAACCCATTCTAAGGAGAGGAGTTACGTGGTGTGACAGCTAAGTAGTGATCATCAGTTTGACATGTTGGTGGTAAAGTAGCTAAGCAGAGTCACACACACACACACACACGTACACACACACACACACACACACACGTGCACACACACACACGTGCACACACACGCATGCATGTTTGCACAGACATGCACACACACACACAAACACACACAGTATTACCTGATGAGTGGTTGATGTAAGGCCACCAAGGATGCGTGAACGGAGACAGAGATGACGGACAGGTGGAAGTAGTCAAACATCACAGGTACATGGTGGTGGAGACCTCTCCTGGGGTGGAAGTGGAGACCCAGGGTTCTACTGCTGATCACTGGGACTGTCACGATGTCCCCTAACCTAGAGACAACACAGTTAGTATCTAACCCAGCCTGAGGACAACAACAGAGACAGGTAATGTCAGAACATTATACAGTTACAGCATCATACAGTTAATGTAGTGTGCCAAGGACAGTCAATGCCAGTTTAAAATGCATCGCGCAAAATTGCAAGCTATTACCCGTTTAAAGGACATAATGTTATGGGTTATTTAACTGTTATTATCCAGCTAGGACAATAGCAAATTTAAAAAAGCTAATTTCCCTCTGGGGCAATAAAGTTGAAACTTGAATTGGTCATATTCTACACACACTAACACTGGGTGACTCCAAATAGTAGCAAAGTCTGAGAAGTTGTAAGGGCTCCAAATGGGATGTTTAATGAGCCATCCAGGAGACATTACAAACCATCTATCTGTGGCCCACAGTACCTATTGAGCTATTGAGCTGCAACAGCACAAACACCCAGAGGTCACACTTGGAGTGACAGATCCAAATATGCAGATCCAACAGTAACTCATCCTTTACAGACACATAGACAGACAAATGCACACACGCACACACACAAAGAGACACACTCATACAACATTTGTGCACACACATGTCCGCACAGAGACGTGGTAAAGTAGTGTTTTAAATTGACTAGTGTTTTTTCCTGACTATGCAGTCTGTCAGTCTATTACAGCCAGAGGCTTTTCACTGGCAGGACATCATTAGGACCTGGACCTCAGCACTACTAACTGAGGACCTCTCAAAACTGAGGAGGGAGGGAGCGAGAGATGGGAGGGAGGGGGGATAGGATGAGAGACATAGAGATGTGGAGAAAGGTCAAATAAAATATGTAACCGAGTGTGTAACGTACTGTTCCTCGTTGTCTGTGAAGTGAAGGTCCAGCTTCAACTGAAAATCTGCTTCACTCAGAGCCTCTTCCACCTGTGAGAACAGAAACACAGTCACAACATCAACAAAACTGGATCAACCACAATTGGACAAATCAGCAAAGAAGAAAAAAATGCAGTTGGGTAATAAAACATCCATAACAGTGTAACAACATTATTGTGAGACATTAAACCATAAGCAACTGTTAATGTGTCTATAGTTTTGTCATTAGTTTCTCTACTGTATCTTCTGCCTGTTTATCTCCCTACAACATGCACACACACACAAACACACACACACATACACACCATGCTCTGTGTAGCAGAACAAACAGCATTGTCAAATCCTATTGATATTCTGATTGATTAAACACACGCTCTGGGGAAATGGAGTTCTATTTTTGTCCTTCTTATCAGAGGGAGAGAGGGTGGGAGAGAGAGAGAGGGAGAGGGAGGGGGAGAGGGGCGAAGAGAGGAATGGGAGGGAGGGAGGGATGGGATGGGAGGAGGGGGAGGGAGGGGTTGTAGAGGGGTAAAAAGGGGGTAGAGCGCGGAGGGGGGTAGGAGGGAAGCGAGAGAGGGGGTAGTTAGAGGAGAGAGGGGGTAGAGGGGTGGTTCGAGAGAGCGGGGGTAGAGAGAGAGAGGGGGTAGCGGGGGTAGAGAAGAGGGGGTAGAGGGGTAGAGAGAGAGGGGGTAGAGGGGGAGAGAGAGAGGGGGGTTAGAGAGAGGAGGTAGAGGGGTAGAGAGGGGGGGTAGAGGGGTAGAGGAGAGGGGGTAGAGGTGTAGAGAGAGAGGGGGTAGAGGGGGAGAGAGAGGGGGTAGAGGGGAGAGAGAGAGGGGGGTAGAGGGGGAGAGAGAGAGGGGGATAGATAGAGAGAGAAAAGGAGTTAACCTCTGGAAGAAGAGGGGATGGCTGAAATCTGATCTACCCTTCCAGCCCACAGCCTCTCTCTCTCTCTCTCTCTCTCTCTCACCTTCACATAAATAATGTGTCATACATTTAATGAAAAATTCTAAATTTAGGAGACTTGCCAGGTAGGTAGCCGACTTTAAATAAATAAATTAGGAGAGCTGACCTGCCATGTAGCCAACAAGCTGAAGATCAATCTGACAGTCACATGCTGATTGAACCAGGGTTCATGTTTAACTCTGTAGGTTAGATTGTAGGTAAGATACCTGTATATAGGTAGTAGAATAGACTGTCGGTAGGTAATCTCATCACAGAGGAAACAAGGTAACGTTTCATACTTATGTGAAGGTATATGAGATGGCTCTAAGAAGGGTGACTAGTTTCTACCACCTCCTGACCCGGCCTCAGCCTGTAACTCTCTCTCTCTCTCTCTCTCTCTGTCTCTCTCTCTCTGTCTCTCTCTCTCTCTCTCTCTCTCTCTCTCTCTCTCTCTCTCTCTCTGTCACAGCTGATGAATCTTACCCTGTGGCTCTGTCTGACTCCACAAGAAAAGCAGAAACATTAGATTTTTGGGGGGTCATGCTCAGGGTGGAACTATATGACACTTCATCAATAGAGCTGTCTGGCATCTCCACAAGCTTCCTCAGTCTGTCTCACCCATACTGCTCAGTCTGCACCACAAGCAAATCACTTTCAGATCCAACAAGTGAAGAGTTTTATTCCAAAACGCTATATATCCATTTTCAGAAATGTTGGTAAATTAGCTTTTGTTTAAAGAAATTATGAAAGTGATGAGTTTTTTCCACTTTCTAATCATGGCATGGGGTTATTAAATGACAGACATATTTGTTTAAAATCTATCACCTGATGGTTTCATTTCATTTTTGCTAAATATTATATATCCGCCTCAATCTCAGAGAAATAAGTAGTACTGCTAGGTTTTACACATTCAAATGTAACAAATAACTAATTTTTAATAAAGAACTGTACAAATTATACATTTGTGACATCAATATATATTTATTTTTTATTTTGTTTTTATTCAATACAGTAATATGAGATCTGTATGTAAAACATCTACATTTGACATTTCAGTCAATACAGTAAGTGCATTCATCTTATATACAAACATTCCATTCCAGCTAAACAATAGATTTTCATACACATCTAAAATCGCTTAATAAAAAATCTGAGAACAGTAATATTTTACACACACATGAAGGTACCAATAAGCAATCATTTCTGATGAAAAAACACAAATGTGAAAAATTGGTTGATATAGCATTTGGGAAATAAACTTTTTAAGTGGTTAAATTGAGCTTGTGTGTGTGTGTGTGTGTGTGTGTGTGTGTGTGTGTGTGTGTGTGTGTGTGTGTGTGTGTGTGTGTGTGTGTGTGTGTGTGTGTGTGTGTGACTCACCCTCTCCCCGTCCAGCAGCAGGTGGACCTTGAAGAGCATGCGGTCATTGACGTTGACCTCTTGGTTTCGGTAGAGGATCTGGAAGATCCGGCTGAACACTGTAGTGTCCTCATGGATCCCATCATGGACCCCCGCAGAGCTGAAACTACAGTCACCTGGGGGGGAGGGAGGGGAGAGAGCATCATCGTCAGCAGTATCTTTATCGTCATCATCATCATCATTATAATCACCATCAGTGCTGCCTCTGCCTATAGGCAGACTACGTGCTGCGCGCAGGGCCTGGCAGCAGCTAGGGGGCCCCCGACCAAAAAATTATAACTTGTCTGTCTGTCTATTTTTGCATGTATTTTTTGGAAGTCAGTTGGGGTCTCAACTTATTATTGACAGTTAGAATAGTAGAAATTTGGTAGTGCATCAGCAGTTTTTCTCTTGTTATGTCAGTAATTGACACTCACTCAATTAGCCCATGTCAGTTAACCTTTTATAGATTGCTACGTAAGTTAGTCTAGCCAGCTATCTAAACCTTGTAGTAATCATGGCTGAATTACTGACCAGGCAAGCGCAAGGGCCCTGACCTCCTGGGAGCCCACATTGATTTTGTTAGTTACTCTCACTCAGATATCATATGAACCTGGTATAAGCCATGGCAAAATGTGTAGAATTGCAGGAAATTAGCTTTAAAACGGCAACAGTTTCTCTCTATCCCATGGCAAAATGTGTAGAATTGCAGGAAATTAGCTTTAAAATGGCAAAGGCTTCTCTCCATCTCATGGCAAAATGTGTAGAATTGCAGGAAATTAGCTTTAAAACTGCAAAATAAATTATCCACCCAATTATGAAATGTGTAGAATTGCAGAGAATTTGCTTTAAAACTTTCTCTCCACATAATTGAGACTCAGAAGCAGTGCTGAATGGATTATATATAATCTGACATTTTTCTGGGTATAAAAATAAATGGTTTTCCAATAAATCTCTATATAGTCAGTGCTGTTTTCTGCTTGTTTCTGTAGAGTAGATGTCCAGCTGGCTGCTGGATGTGCAGCTGTGATAGGCCTTTGAAGGAAGCACCCCCCCCCCCCCCCCCCCCCCCCCCCATCCCTCTATTTCTCTGTCTCTTCTCTCTGTTCTTCCCTTCTCTCCCTCTCTCAGCAGCCCTCTCCAGAAAGAACAGTCACTTCAACCAGCATGAGTGTCAGATTTTGTACTAAATTTAGTGAAAGGCAGTGTGGCTGCTGTGTTTTGGCAGCATGATGTCCTACTGCTAGTGGAAATAAACTCATTTAATTTCAAACCAATCATAGCCTGGCTATTACAGATGAAGGGTCAGTTTGTCAACAGAGTTGTAATGAGGGTGAATGCTCAGTACTCCAGGCTCATCTAAAAACATGGCATCTCTAGTTCTGCTCTACGGGGAGGGGGCAGAGGGAGACAGTGAGCAGAACTGGCAAGGCACTAAAGAGGCTTCACTGTGATTTAAAGGGATGCAATTAGTTATGAGTAATAAGAGTACAGATATACAGTATGTTTGCAACCAAAGCATCAATATTCTACAGCAATACAAAGGAGATACTTCCAACTTTAAGCCTTCAACCACTGTACCACTCTGCACATACAATAATTATCTCTCTCTCGCTCTCTTCTCTCTCTTTTTTTTCTCACTCCTTTTCTCTCTCTAGCTCCCTTTCCACTCTTTCTCTCTCTCTCTCTCGCTCTCTCTAATTTCTCTCTCTCTCCAGCTCACATTTCCTCTCTCTCTCTCTCTCTCTCTCTCTCTCTCTCTCTCTCCTCTCATCTCTCTCTCTTCTCTCTCTCTCTCTCTCTTCTCTCTCAATTCCATTCAATTCAATTTCCATTCAATCCAATTCAAATTTAAGGGCTTTATTGGCATGGGAAAACATATGTTTACCTTGCCAACGGCCAAGTGAACTAGATAATAAAACAAATGTGAAAATAAAAAAATAAAAAATTTGTACACGTAAAACATTGCACTCACAAAGGTTCCAAAAGAATAAAGACATTTCAAATGTCATATTATGTGCAAATAGTTAAAGTACGAAAGGGAAAATAAATTTACAATGGTGTTTGTTCTTCACTGGTTGCCCTTTTCTTGTGGCAACAGGTCACAAATCTTGCTTCTGTGAGTTTATCAAAATTGGATTGGTTTCAAATTCTTTGTGTGTCTGTGTAATCTGAGGGAAATATGTGTCTCTAATATGGTCATACATTTGGCAGGAAGTTAGGAAGTGCAGCTCAGTTTCCACCTCATTTTGGGGGCAGTGTGCACATAGCCTGTCTTCTCTTGAGAGCCAGGTCTGCCTATGGCGGCCTTTCTCAATAACAAGGCTATGCTCACTGAGTCTGTACATAGTCAAAGATTTCCTTAAGTTTGGGTCAGTCACAGTGGTCAAGTATTCTGCCACTTTGTACTCTCTGTTTAGGGCCAAATAGCCCTAAATAGCCCAGTTATTTTGTTAATTCTTTCCAATGTGTCAAGTATTATCTTTTTGTTTTCTCATGATTTGGTTGGGTCTAATTGTGTTGCTGTCCTGGGGCTCTGTGGGGTTTGTTTGTGTTTGTGAACAGAGCCACAGGACCAGCTTGCTTAGGGGACTCTCTCTCTCTTTCTCTCTCTCTCTCTCTCTCTCTCTCTCTCTCTCTCTCTCTCTCTCTCTCTCTCTCTCTCTCTCTCTCTCTCTCTCTCTCTCTCTCTCTCTCAGCTATTCTCTTACTGTTTGTGTGACATAATACCTTTAGAGTTAAGCTACAGTAAGGAGGCAGCAGAACAGTAAATGCTAAACTAATTCATATAACAACATCCTGACTTAACAAACCACAATGTTTTTCTATATGAATAATAGTCATTAAATGTCTGGGGTTCAGAAGTGAGACAATCCTTCACACCTTGTCTGAAGGGCACCAAACAATTGAAATGTCAAGCACACAACCCTTTAATCTCTCACAGTACGGTGGGTGGATTATTTCCCAAGTCTCTGTGGTTGATAAATGTCTTTCTCCTGGCTGGCCGGAGCGGAGCGTATCATTGGCTGGTGAATTTATGGCTGGTAGCCCTGTCTGTCTTTGAGGCTTATAGTCGTAATACGTGACCTTGTAGAGGAGGAGTGCAGGAGAGGGGACGGAGATGGGGAAGAGGGCTGCGGCTAAGCCCTCCAATTAGAATATGGATACATAATGCTACTGTACAGTGCATTGCTGCAATGTAGCTAGTGACACTCACTGTGTACAGATACTATGGCAATGCTGTACTGTGTGTGTGCAGGCAATCCTGATACTGCGGTCTAGGCTACATGAATATTCTGCACTACAGCAAATGATTTGTAGATGTTATTGTATGGCAGTGCAGAGATAATAAGTACAAACTATTATTGCTGAATGTGCACATTGTGGATTTGGCTATTTCAGCCACACCCGTTGCTGACAGGTGTATAAAATCGAGCCCACAGCCATGCAATCTCCATAGACAAACATTGGCAGTAGAATGGCCTTACTGAAGAGCTCAGTGACTTTCAACGTGGCACCGTCATAGGATGCCACCTTTCCAACATGTCAATTAATCAAATTTCTGCCCTGTTAGGGCTGCCCCGATTAACTGCTGTTATTGTGAAGTAGAAACATCTGGGAGCAACAACCGCTCAGCTGCGAAGTGGTAGGCCACACAAGCTCACAGAATGGGACCGCCATTCTGAAGCACGTAGCGCGTAAAAATCAGCTGTCCTCGGTTGCAACACTCACTACCGAGTTCCAAACTTCCTCTGGAAGCAACGTCAGCACAATAACTGTTCGTCGGGAGCTTCATGAAATGGGTTTCCATGGCCGAGCAGCCACACACAAGTCTAAGATCACAATGCACAATACCAAGCGTCAGCTGGAGTGGTGTAAAGCTCGCCGCCATTGGACTCTGGAGCAGTGAAAATGCATTCTCTGGAGTGATGAATCACGCTTCACCATCTGGCAGTCTGACGGACAAATCTGGGTTTGGCAGATACATTTACATTTTAGTCATTTAGCAGACGCTCTTATCCAGAGCGACTTACAGTTAGTGAGTGCATACATTTTTTCATACTGGCCCCCCGTGGGAAACGAACCCACAACCCTGGCGTTGCAAGCGCCATGCTCTACCAACTGAGCTACACGATACCAGGTGAACACTACCTGCCCAAATGCATAGTGCCAACTGTAAAGTTTGGTGGAGGAGGAATAATGGTCTGGGGCTGTTTTTCATGGTTCGGGCTAGGCCCCTTAGCTCCAGTGAAGGGAATCTTAACGCTACAGCATCCAATGACATTCTAGACTATTCTGTGCTTCCAACTTTGTGGCAACAGTTTGGGGAAGGCCCTTTCCTGTTTCAGCATAACAACGCCCCTGTGCACATAGCGAGGTCCATACAGAAATGGTTTGTCAAGATCAGTGTGGAAGAACTTGACTGGCCTGCACAGAGCCCTGACCTCAACCCCATCGAACACCTCTGGGATGAATTGGAACGCCGACTGCGAGCCAGGCCTAATCGCCCAACATCAATGCCCGACCTCACTAATGCTCTTGTGGTTGAATGGAAGCAAGTCCCCGTAGCAATGTTCCAGCATCTAGTGGAAAGCCTTCCCAGAAGAGGGGAGGCTGTTATAGCAGCAAAGGGGGGGCTAACTCCATATTAATGCCCATGATTTTGGAATGAGATGTTCATTCACATACTTTTGGTCACAAACTGATAGAGTAAAATACTATGCTATTTTATACTGCACAGCAACATGTGAAGCTCCTCCATACAAAAGGCCACATTGACCTGATCAATACCTCCCTGCCTTCCCTACATAGGTCAGAGTCACATCCAGATTATTACTGAGTCAGTAGGAGGATAGGAACAGGTGGCTGGCTAAATAAATGCCTGAGTGTCACATTCAATGTCAGGGTCAGACAACAAAGGGGTTTTGCAGCCGCAACCATGCATGCCCTTGTCAAAGAAGGAACACAACACAGTCACGCAGGCGCGCCCACACTGTTCCCTGCGTCCTGTTCCAATCATAATGAACTATAAATAGATTTTTTATTACAGCAAATCAGAT